ATTACAAATGCACATTTGTAATTTGGCCTTCCAAATTGCCAAAAAGCTTTCCAAAGCGGCTGTGTCAATTTACACACATCAGTAACATACATGGCTGCCTTCTTCCCCATCCCCTGACCAAATTATATTCTCCAACTTTTTGACCATCAATTTGACGGGTGAAAAATTATAACTCATTGTAGTTTTGCTTTTCTTATAAAATAGATTGGACATCTTTTCATATTTAAAAGCAAACTGAATTTCCTCTTCTGTGACCTGTCCAGGTTCTTGTCCATTTCTCCATTTGGTGGTCTTTTTCTTTTTTTTTCTTCCAGTTTTATTGAGAAATAATTGACTCAATAAACTTGTAAACATACAGCATGATAGCTTCATTTACACGTACTGTGAAATGATCACAATATGTTCAGCTAACAACCATCTTCTCATATAGATACAACAAAAAAAAGGAAAAGAAATTTCTCCTTGTGGTAAGAACTCTTAGGATTCACTCTAACAACTTTCCTACTCTATGATACAGCAGTGTTAGCTACAGTCACTGCGTTGTACCTTACGTCCCTAGCACTTATAACTGGAAGCTTATACCTTTTGACCTCTTCCTCCAATTCTCCCTGCCCATTCCCTGTCTCTCGTAACCACAAATCTGATCTCTTTTTCTGAGTTTGTTTTTGTTTCAGATTCCACATGTGACATTGTACAGTATTTGTCTTTTTCTGTCAGACTCATCTCACTTAGCATAATGCCCTCAAGGTCCATCCATGTTGTTGCAAATGATAGGATTTTCTCAATTTATTATGGTTGAATAATATTCATTATATATATGGCAGTCTTTTTCTTACTGACTTACAAGCATACTTTATAGTAAAGTATAAATAGGAAATTAGCCTTTTGTCATAAATGTTGAAAAATTTTTTCCCAGTATATCAGTCGACTTTTGATTTTGCTTATGGTACTTTTTTTGTGCAGAAAATTTTGTTTGTTTGGAATTTTTAATGCTTTTTTGGTGAGGAAGATTGGCCCTAAGCTAACATCTGTTGCCAATCTTCCCCCTTTTTTTTCTCTCTCTTCCCAAAGCCCCAGTACATAGTTGTATATCCTAGTTGTAGGTCATTCTAGCTCTTCTATGCGGGATGCCGCCACAGTATGGCCTGATGAGCAGTGCTAGGTCCGTGCCCAGGATCCAAAGCAGTGAATCCTGGGACACCAAAGCGGAACATATGAACTTAACCACTCAGCCACAGGGTACAGAAAATGTTAATAATTTCACTTTGACTTCCAGGTTTTATGTCATGCTTAGAAAGGCCTTTATCACGCAGATTATTTTTTAAATTCTCCCATGTTTTCTTCTAGAACTTTTATAATTTCACTTTTTACATTTACGTTTTGATACATCTGGAATTTATTTTGTTATAAGTTCTTAAAAATATCAAAAACACCAAAAAACAAAAGCCACAAAGATAAAGATTCAAAACCTATTTAAACATAGGGTGTTATTACTTTGGCATTAACAGTACTAGAAGAGGGAGCAGTAAAATACTCCACATTCTCCAACAACCCACCACACAGTTCCACTGCTCTCCACACGGGAGAAGCACAAATGATTTTAATGCATAGATGAACCTCAAAAGCATCCTGACCAAGGTGCCTGCCATGGAGCTGAGTGGAAAGGTGCTGAAAAAGTATTTAGCCCAAAGATCTCGTGTCCCATCCTAAAATTTCCAAGTACAGCTAGAACATACTTGTTCTCCTACCTCAAAGGCGTGTTGTGGAAAAAAAAAAAAAGATTCCTCAGATGAAAGCTGCCTGGACCTCAGTAGAGAATATAATGACTTTATCAACTGTTTTCTTACATCCAGGACTAGCAGTAGCAATAACGCATATGTATGAACTTCAATTAGGCACAATCTCTGATCTTAACATTTAAGAGAAAAGGAGCCGTACAAATGCTAGGTACTAAAAATGAACGGCATCAATATTTGAGAGAACGGGCTTTGCCAGTGAATTCCCAGGAAAAGACTTACCACTTATTAGAGCCCAAATACGTGCACAGCGAGATTAACGGTGGCCAGAGTGCTTTCTAACTCACTGTTCCAGAAGCTGTTTCAGGGAACTAATAAAACTGATGGCTGTTCTCCAAATAGCCTGAATCCGGGCCCTCCATTCCTCCTCACCAAAGAATTTTCTCTTATGCCTCCCTCTGCTAGCATAGTGATTCATTTATTCAGTAATTAATTCATTAATTTCTTCTTTCACAAGACAAATAATGAGCAACTTGCATGCCACGCCCTGGCCTGGGCACTGAGGTTAGAAGGATGAATATGACAGCGCCTGGCCCATGGAAGCGCTCAATAAATGTCTGTTATTGAATGAGAACAGTGTGTTTGGCACACAGAGTTATTAACAACAGGCTAAGGCCATGTCAGGGGCAACATGGACAAAGCACTCAGGGTGTACAAACGGGGAGATGCTAACTCTGGGAGGCATCAGAGAAGTGTCATGAAAAGTATGTGACAGCTGAGCTGTTCCTCTTGTTTTACCATTACAAAACTAAGGATTTGGCCACAAAAAGGTTTATAGGTACTCAAATGAAAAAAATAAAGAGCTGTAAAGACATTTTTAAGAATGTTGCTGGAAAACCATGAGAAGTACCTTTTCCAAGGCTATTTAGGTTTTGGGGAAAAAGGAGAGTGAAGGAGGTAAAAGGACGAATATTTCTACTAGTTTCAACACCTGATTTGCACTTGGAAAGTGACTCAGAAAAAGACAGTTGAGTTTACTCAAAAAAATCCACTCTAAAGAAACAATCAGTGTCACAGAGAAAGATATATATTCAAAAATATTGCTAATTATTACAGTTTATATTATATAAACACCATAAATGTCCAACACTAGGAAGATGGTTAAATACAGAAAATTCACAATAGGTTAACATATTTTTAAAAATGTGTAACATGAAAAAACACAATAATGTTAAGTAGGAAAAAAGGACACAAATTATTTCTATCAAATGTTACTAGCCAAATAAATATACACAAATACACAGAGAAAAGAATGGAAGGAAACAGACCCAAATGTTACTAATAATAACAATAATAGTTACCATTTATTGAAGGCTTACTTTGTGCCAAGCACTGGAGTAGAAGCTTTTTATGTGTTATCTTATCTAACCTTGAGAACTCTATTAAGTACTATTATTGTCATATTTTACTCTGTGGAAACGGAAGCTCGCTCACAGGGTTATTTGCCCTAGGTCACTCAGCTAGAAGTAGCAGGACTTGACTTCAAAACATGATCTCTAGATGGTGGGATGAGGGGTGATTTGTGCTTTCTTTTCTATGCTTTTCCTTTTGTTTCTAAATTTTCTACAATGAACATGTATTACTTCTATACTAAAAGAGAAAATAGATGATAAAGAAAGAAAGAAAGCACCTTTCCTCAAACTCCTAGTGATGATTATTTTTAAATCCCTTGGATCCATAAGTTTCCTTCTTCCTGAAGCAGCTTCAAAGATGCTGACTGGATCCCTAGACCATGTTCCTATCCCCAGTCTTAGAGACGGCAGGCACAAGGACCAAGCACAAGCTTGGCATCACAGATGTGACTCCCAGGTCTGCCAGCCTCCTGTGTAGCCACACAGGAAGTTAGTCAGCTGACCTCCTTGAGCCTCGTGTCCTTATGAATAAAATGGAGACAAGCATACCTCCTTTGCAGGGTTAGAGTAAGGCCTAAAAAAGAGAATGTTAAGGGCTTAGCATAGTGCCTAGCACACAGCACATGCGCAGAAAGGGAAGCTACAATTGCAGCGATCAGTCAACCGCTGGGCTCCCGATTCTGCTTCTCAGACCTTCCGTTTCTCTCCCATGGGGGACGGGCACGCATTCCCTAACTTCGCTAGATATACAAGACAGTCTCCACAGGGCAAGCCCTGACTCAGGTCCTAATTTAAGTCACCAGACTGCCAGCTAAACTTTTCCTTGTGAAGTTCTGGGGCCTCCTGTCCACCGTACGGGCTTCGCACTCACGCTCTAATCCGATCCTCGTGGTAAAAGATGTCCTGGATGGGAGCTTTGGCTTTGCCATATCGCAAGCGGGGCCTTCGAAAGACCGGCTCCCTCAGCGGGGGAAAAGCGTTGTATATGTCAAACCAGAGGGGCTTCTCCTTCAACACTCCAGCCCGAATCAGGTCCCGCGTCCTTCAGGAAGGGAAAAGAACGAAGGTCTTCGGTTACCACAGCCCCTCAAACCTCTGAATCAGTCCAGCCACAGCCTGGGACATCAGAGGGCTCATCGAGTCCGCAACACAGAACGGGAGGAGCTGGGGAGCAAAGGGCCCCCCACCTACAGGTAACATCTTTCATATCCCAAACCAAACTGACAATGCTCAGGGGTCAAGTCCTTCTATCTTCTTACGCGCGCCCCCCAGCCTCACCCCATCATGGAAAATACAAGGACGGTCCAGCCAGACCCATCAGCCTCTCCCTCCCTCCCTCTTCCTGGAGACCTCCACTCGGGGAGGGGGCAGGTGCAATCTTTAACGGGAACCGTAAGAAACGAAGGAGGGACGCCATCAAACACAAGTACTCAGAGGCAGGAGAGAGCACGAGACCTGAGCCGGCGCAGCCCCCTGCCCCGGAGAATGCCCCTCCCTGCTCAGCCCCACCCCAGGAGGAGCGCACCCCGGCTCAGCCCCACCCGGCTCCGAGCACGCACCGCGAGAAAATGCTGCCCACGGTCTCCAACCGGCTGCCCGCCATGGCCGGCGCCTGGGACCCAGCAGGGCCCGTTGCGACCGGAACCGGAAGCGCCGGCGGCAGGCAAAGTGGGCGTAAGCGGCTGGCCGAGCCGAGGATCGCGGCGTTGAGACTGCGGCCCTAACGGGAGAGCGGAGCCAGGCAGAAGCAAAGGATGGGCCGAACTGGCGCGCTCCTCGGCGGCTTGCCAGGTTCAGACAAGAACCCTCGATAGCCGAGCTGAAAGGGAGGGAGTGAGCCACAGCCCGGCAGAAGCAATAAATGACCGATCCAGGGGAGGGATTAATTACGGTAGTGACAACGCTTTCTGCCTTGCTGAGCCAACTCCTCTCGAGAAGGTGGGGCCGCGGAGGGAAGGTGATGGGAGGTAGGAGGCAGGCGCAGCCTACGTCCTGGGGAGCCAACCAGCCATGGAATACGTAAAGGCAGAGACTAGAGGTCACCAGCTCTAGGCCTGGGCTGCGCCTGATCTTGGTTGGAGTCACAGACTACGCAGAAGGAGACCGAGGCTGGGGGAAGGGCGGTCACCTGCCCAGCGTCACACTGGAGCCCAAGCCTCTGTCCTCCGTCTTCTGCTGTTTCGCGCTCCCCACTAAACCCTTTGGCCCGGGAGCGCCACCTGCGTCCGCTCTAATAGGGATGCTGCCGGCAGCTAGTGTTTTCTCCGCGGGAGGCGTCGCTGGCCAGCTCCTCCTTGGAGCTTGAAAAGTGAGACTTTGCGGGACCAATTGCGAGAAGGAAGCTCAAAAATCTAAGGAAACTAACCTCTCAGGGTTACCTTTTGGCCCAAAAATCATACTTGGGGTAAAGTACCCCACAGAAATTAAAGCACAATTTCATGAAGATATTTGTGCAAGGATCGTCACTGCAGCATTGTCTGTAATGGCAAATAAATAAAAAGGGAATATATGGTTCATATATTCTATGGAATCCTATGCAGCTGTTAAAATGAACGAGTTAGACCCATATGTGTAGATGAATGCCCATGACTTATAGTTAGATGAAAAAGGAAGTTGCAGAGAAACGCCTTTAGTGGGATCCAAACCTATTAAAAAAGAAAAACCTTTGTATGTGTTTGTGTTTGTATGAGGATGGAGATTGTGTGGAAGGACACACAAGGCTGTGAACATTGGTTTTCTCCCGTGAAATTGCAGGAGGGGAAGGGAGAATTTTTTCTTTACTCCTCAGTTTGACCTGTAAACCGTCTGCATTCATACTTGAACTTTTTCATCCAGTGAAATGTTTTGAATCACATACACACAAAATATCTCGCGGGAGCCCATTATCTTCGTCAGCAAGAAAGAGCATCAAATCATCTCAGTCTCTCCTTGTTTTATAGGAAGCTGTTGAGGAGGAGGAAAGGAATGTTTGATGAGCTGTCACTGCTTGTTTGTGTTATCTCACCCAATCCCCACACCTACCAACAATGTGGCTGTTATTATCCTCATTGCAGATGAGAAGGTGAGGCCACAGGGGGTTAAGTACCTTGTCTGATAGGTAACTGACAGAGCCAGGCTTCCAGCCCAGCCCAGGCCCTTTCCAGAACCCCACAATGCCTCTTTAGCTATGCCTCAAGCTGGAGACTGGTGGACTGAGGAAGTCAGGCCAAACCAGCCCCAGGGGCAGGGGACAGGGTGATTTGAGGCCCCGGGCTCAGCTGAAAGTTGGGTTTCTCTGCTGCCTCAGGGTGCTCTGGAACAGGGAAGAGAGAGCACAGCTCGTGTGGATGCTCCAGTCTCCCAGTCCTTGAAAGGTCTAGAAGACTTTGCTCTATAGAGAGCAAACACGCTCCCAGCTAAATATAGTCTTCCCAGGACTCCTAACAAGTTTCTAATTCCGTCCAAGTCAGAGCTAGCTGCCAGCCCAGACCACAGACACACTTCCCTTCTCCCACTTGAGCCTGCCCCCATAGGCCACTGCAGTTACCGCTGCTAAAGAATTAGAAGGGTTTATTCCAAGTTCAGGGAGGGGAGCCAAAGACCCAAACCCTCAATGGGGGAGGAGTTGCAGGGCAGGAATTTTCTCTCTAGATCTTCCTGGGGGAGTTCTGTCCTCTTCCAAGTCTTTAAAGTTTCCCCTCCAGCATCATATTTAATGCTTCTGTGACTGAGAGAGCAGAATGCTGGTGGGGAGAGTGGGGGGACCATGGAGATGTGGGAGCAAGATGGATTGGGAATCCTCTGAGCCTGCAACGGGAAGTGAGCACTCCAGCAAGCGTTCATTCAGAATATAGGAGGAAGGTGTTGGGCAGCTGGGGGCAGGTGGAATGGCTATTAGAGGCTTTCTGTCTTCTCCCCAGGGCCTCTCGAGGCTGCCAGGGGCTGACACACTCATGCCATGCACTGCACCAAGGAGCCGGATTGTCTCACTCAGTTGTTCAACTACCTGATGCCATAGGTAATGTCCTGACAGTCTTACAGACAAGGAAATAGAGCTTGTAAACTCTCCAGAAGGCCATGTTCCTTCCACTGCGCAGCCCCATTTTGGTCCCACTGCCTCACACTGTAGATGGGCCCACTAATCGTGTCACCCTGGGCAAGTTATGGAACTTTTCAAGCCTCTGTTTCCCCACCTGTTAAAATGTGGATGGCCATGTCAACGATCTGTGCTGCTTGTTGCAAGAGTACAAGTGATCATTCACGTGAAGCACTAATCGCAGCCCTGGCACACAGGGAGTGCTCTTGAGTAAGAAGTCTGATGGCTGTTACATCATCACTGTGGCTGCTGTGTCCTGTAATCCATTGATTGCCACCTGGACTGCAGCATTTTGATAATATTTCATAGATCGCCTTATTGTTTTATTTTCTTGTTAAATGATCCATTGATCCTACAAATATTAAGCACCCACCTGACCCTGTGCTGAGTCCTGGAGAAGCTTGACTGTCCAGTTGGGGAGACGGAGAGGCAAATTCCTAATTGATAAGTTGTGTGCTGAATAGTTTGTTGACTGTATTAGTCTGCTGGGGCTGCCATAACAAAGTACCTCAGACCGAGGGGCTTAAACAGCAGAGATCTATTTCCTCACTACTCTGGAGGCCAGAAGTCCAAGATCAAGGTGTTGGCAGGGTGGGTTTCTTCTGAGGCTTCTCTCCTTGGCTTATAGACGGCTGTCTTCTCTCTGTGTCTTCATATGGTCTTCCCTCTGTATGTGTCTTGTCCCCTTCTTATAACACCAGTCATGTTGGATTCCAGCTCAACGTAATGACCTTGTTTTAACTTTAATACCGCTTTAAAGATGCTATCTCCAGACACAGTCACATCCTGAGATACTAGGGGTTAGGACTTCAGCATAGGAATTTTGGAGGGACACCATTCAGCCCATAATATTGATTGATAAGTACTTGTGCTGAATAGCTTCCATTTGCCCATCCAGATCCACACCCACTCTGTGCCCTTCCTCACCCGGCTCTGTGCCCCAGGAGGCTAACTTCTATGGACTGTATCCCCCAGCCTCTTGCCCTCTGCTTCCACCTGGGTTCCAGTTGGTTCCATCAATGGGAGGCAGTGGCCGGGGACTGGAAGGAGGGAGGAGAGTGAAGTCAGTCTCCATTCCCCTGGCTCCCTCCATGTACAATCCAGGAACATAAAGTCACAGCTCCTGCAGAGCAGCCTCTTCACACGGAGCTCCCTCACCAGGTTCCAGTCACTGTTCCCTCCTTGCCCCTTCAGGTCTAGACACGGCAAATGGTGTCCCTCTGTTGCTAGCCACAGGGTCTAAGCCTTCCCTTGTGGCTTCCCTTCACTCTTCCCCACATCTTTGTAAACAGGGCTGGGGAGTTTGTCAGCCAGAAAGAGGAAGAGCATCCCCAAGAGCGGAACAGTTTTGGTAAGTGAAAATCCCAGCATATTGATGAAATCATTAATACTGCTACTCACCTTTGGCAGAGAGCCAGGATCAGGAAGCAATAAGCTGTTGCTTTAAAAGAGGAGGAAAACAATAGTATATATTCACCACACAGTACAGGGACCAGGAGGATGAAGGGCAAGGAGGCAGGAGTGCCATCTCCCACCTGCAGCCTGCTCCCTTCTCCTGGCCCAGCGCCCTCCTTTGAGGCCCACACCTCCGCTTCCTTTCTAGAGTCAGGTGGAGAGGCACTTCAGCCCCCAGCACACACTCAGCAGACTGGGTGAGTGTGCCCGGGACCTGCTCCCTCCCTCCCTAAGCTTATCTCCCTCACATGGGTGTTGTAACTCTGTTTACTTGCCTGGGTCTGTCTCACTGGGCCTCTCTGAGGACAGAAACCAGGACTCATCTCTGCCTCCTCACACCCAGCCTGCTGCCTGGCCCAGATCTGGCTCTTAGAGTTTTCTAGTGAACAGTATGGACGAATAAAGTCAAGTTAGGACAAATGAGGATGCAGCAATCTCAGCCCTTCTTCCTGGAGGCCTTCCCAGATACAACAATAGTGAGAAAGCTCTGGTTGAATAGAGGTAACCCTCCACCCCACCATGCACCTCGTCATTTCCAGTTCTGGCTGTCCTCTGTACCTCGCTGACGGTTAGATCCCATTTACAAGCCTCGGGCCCTCAGCTTTGTCATTTGTAAAACAGGCATAATCATAGCAGCCACCATGTTGCCTTCTTGGGAGGAGTCAGTGGGTTAATACTTGCAGAGTGCTTAAAACCGTACATGGTGTATAGTAACCACTCAATAAATAGAGTGACGATGATAATTTCTGACCATTCCCCAGTTAAAAACAATAAATCACAATTTAGTAAATCACACCTACAGTTAAATCACAGCTAACAATTCACAAGGCACTTTCACACATGGCTGCCCATTCATTTCTTCAGCAAACAGCAGCCTTGCCCCCAGGGAGAATCCAGTTCAGGCAGAGGAGAGACAGACACTTTATGCCTGCACCTGCCCTGGGTATCAGCATCGCTGTGGCTCCCACTGTCGCCAAGGAAGCCGGAGCCAGCGGGGCCTGGAGCAACACTCTGGCCTTTGTTATTAGAATTCAGGGCCAGTTGGAATCACTCTGCTGAGTTTTCCCAGCAGAGGATGGGGCCCGTCAAGGCAGACGTTTCAGGGCTGGAGTGGGCCCGTCTCTCCTTGTGGAAGGCAGAGTGCTGCAATCTTTAATGTGGAACCTCCTGGGGCTCTCAAAGAAAATGCAGATTCTGACTCAGTAGGTCTGGGGTGAGAATGAAACTCTGCATTTCTAACAAGCTTCTGGGTTGACGCCAATGCTGCTAGTCTGTCGATAGGGTAGCCAACTTGCCCAGAACTTTCCCAGTTTTAGCATTGAAAATTCCTCATCCGAAGAAACCACTCGGTCCTGGAAAACCAGGACGGTTGGTCACCATCTCCACAGACCACACTCTGCGTCGCGAGGTCCTAACAGGACAGGCCAGTGCTGAGTTTGTACTGAGCTTCACAACCCCTCACTTCAGAGGCCCTGGAATAATCCTCTTGACCTGATACAGAATTGTGACTCTTGACTCTCTAGAAATGACAACAGGGTAAATGCTGGTTTTGTGGGGCCTGAAGCTTATATAATCTTAGTGGTTCTTTTAAGAAAATAAGTAAAAAAAAATCTTTGTTTTGCAAATTTTAGAAAACATATGACGATGGGAACAAAGTAAATTTGGCTTTAGGTCAAACGGGTGCTCGCCTCTTCCTTCTGGGAAAATGGTGGTGGCCTCTCAGTGGCCAGCGGCTGCCACTTCTGAGATGACCACCAGGTGGCAGTAGATTTACACAGCCCCCTTCAACACCAGCTCCCCGCCCCCATGTCCAGAAATTTCCAAATCTTCCTCCAGCTGGCCCAGCCAGCTAATCCAAGAAATTAACCTATGCTGTGATAATGGGCAAAAAGAGTTCATGTGTTTCTCTCTCAATAGCATATTTGCCATTTAATGGAAATACTAAGAGATTATTTTTAAAACCAGATAAAGAATGCTAACAGGTGAACTCCAGGCCCACTGTTGGGTCATGCATCACTACGGAGAGGGTTTTCTAAGCAGGTGCACCTTTCTGTGCTCCACAAATTGCATGTATGCAGGGGTTCTAGGTCTTATCACCTGCCCCCCCCCCCCACCCCAATATATAGCTTAGAGTTTGGGCACCAGCTCTGGCATTCTGCTGCCTGGGCTCAAATCCAGGTACTCCCACTTACTGAGGGTCCTGTTGAGTAAGGACCTTAACAGCTCTGTGCCTCAGTTTCCTGATCTGTGAAATGACAGTAATAATACTGATTTCATGTAATAGTTGTGGAAATTAGGTAAAATAACGTCTGTAAAGCACCCCAGAAAAGTGACTGGCACACTGTAAGCGGTCATCAGCAGCTATCATCGTCATCACCCCACACTTTGCCTGTCTTCTGCCTTCTGCCCTCCAAGTTCTCCTGCTGTCACTCCTCCTGCCTCCAGTCCCTACCAGGTGCTTCAGGAGAGCAGAGAGAGGGTCGAGACCCCAGCATGGTAATAACAGGCCAGTTCTTCTGGGCACAGAGTGCTCCAGACACAAGATCTCCTCTCAAGTAGGGGCTGAGCCCTGGGGACACCAAAGCATACAAAGGGAGAGGGGCATTGGCTGGACCAGACTCCAGATAGTGCGGCTCAGCATTTTTGCAGGAGATGAATCTGTGAGTATCACCTTGTGGCTACCAGGAGCCCAGCATTTGCAGATGAGCACGGTGTGTGAGGGTGGATGGCTAGGGCGGTCATCTGGCCCAGCCTGACTCCCTCCGGCATCCTATATACACTATTCAACCGGGAGGGACTCAACATGGAGCAGGGGCTTCATCTTCTGCACTCCTGTTGGGCCCAATCAGCTTTCTCTGCCTTTTCTCCCCACCTCCCACTCTCTGGTTATGGTCACTTTCAGTCTCAGCTACCCTGAGAAGCAAAATGGTGAATGGTTCTCATACTTTGCTGTATGTTAGAATCACCTGAGGAGTTTCACCATCTGATTCCCAGGCTGAATCCTGGGAATAACGGTGGCCTTGTCCTAGGTGACCCAGAGCCCAGAAACAATTAAACCGGAACCTCTGGGAAAGGGCCCCAAGCATAAGAGATGGTTCCAGTGGAAAGCAAGTTTGAGAAGCAGTGTTCTAGACTACCGTTTCTCAAGCCTTACTGTGCATGCTAATCGCCTGAGGAGTTTGTTAAAATGCACGTTCCAGCTCAGTAGGCCTGGGGTAGAGCCTGAAATTCTGTGTTTCTAACAAGCTCCTGTATGATACAGACGCTCCTGGTTCACAGACCAAACTGAGTAGCAGAGTTGTAGAAACGTGAGTGTGTTATTAGAATCATCTGGAGGGCTTGGTAAAATACACCCCAGGCTCAGATTGAGGAGATGTGGAGTGGGGCCCGATAGCATGCATCTCTAACAAGCTCATGGGCGGTGCCAATGCTGCTGGTCCACAGAGCACACTTTAAGCTGCAGGGATGTAGAGGGTGGAACACAGGTTTTGGAGGCAGGCAGTCCTGGGCCCTGTTTTCTGGCTTCACACTTTGCTAACTCTGTGATCTTGCATAAGCTACTTAATCTTTCTGAATTGTCATTTCATCATCTGTAAAGTGGCCATTATTGGGCAAGATTAATTGGGCTAATGTGAAACACCTGACAGACTGCTCGGTGTGCTGGTCCTCACACTTGATTGCAAATTTGAATTACCTGAGGAGCTTTCAAAGAAACAACCTACGGTTGTTGATTTAATTGGTCTGGGGTACTGAGCATCAGGATTTTTTTTTAAGCTACTCAGGTAATTCTGTCTGGTCAGTGCTGGGTACTGGGCTGGCACCATGACTCCCAAGCTTCAGTGTACAGCAGAATCACAGACTCCTGGGCTGCACTCCCACAGTTTCTGGCTCAGTCGGTCCGGAGTGCGGCTGAGAATGGGCATTTCTAACAGGGTCCCAGGCGCACGTGCTGTGTTCCAGGGATCACACGAGTACACAGACATCATCAAAGGCTGCACAGAGCCAGGATTAGAGGACAGTCTTGGTTTGCCTTTCTCAGGTCCAAACAGTACATCTGGAGTATTAGCAGCTGTCTTAGGTATGCCAATTTACAAGCTCCCCTCCCTCTAACTTGGGGTGGGGCCAGACCCTGATGGCCAAGGGGTGAGGAGCGGCCCTCTTTGTAGAGAAGGCAGGAGGAAACTGTGCTGTTTGTCCAGAAGGAGAGAGTGGAGCCACTGAGCTCAACCATGGCATCAGGGGGAAGAGCAGTGGCCTTGTGCTGGGTGACCCGGAGCCCAGAAACAAGACGTGAGGGTGGAAGCCACAAGGAGGCCTTTAGGCTCAACAGAAGGAAGAGCGTTTTAACTTTGAGAAATGCCCTGCCTGGAAACGGCACCAGCTTCCTCTTTCAGCACCGAGTTCCCTGGCTGGGAGGTGGCCCAGCTGAGCGGAGGAATAGGGGAAAACTAGAGACATTTGAACTGGAAGATCTCCGCGGGCCCTTTGAAGTCTGAGATTGCACATCCGTGCAGCCTTCAGCGCAGCCGTTACTCCAGAAGTGGTCTGTTTATTTAGGGAGGTGACCGGCTGGAGCTTTCGCAACAGACTGGCTTTCCCCTCGGTGTTTCCTTTGCCTATCAGCAAGCGGTTTACGTTCCCAGGGCAAACAGGAAGGCGACAGCGCCGAGCAAAGCCAGCAGGTTGGCGAGGTTGCCGTAGGGGCAGCAGGTGTCACCTCGTGAGTGCACCGCGGGGAGGGCTGAGCCCTTGGGGCCTTACAGACGCTGCGGGTTAACGGGGCGGGCGAGGCAGGTGGCCCTCGGGGGCGAGGCGGGGCTCCTGGGGCCAAACCCTACCCAGGCAGGGGAGAGAAGAGGGATATCCAGCCCACGCCGCCGGCCACATGAGAGCACCAAGAGAACACCAAGTCTTTATTACAGGAATTCCTATGAAACAGCTCCAAGAAAAAACCCACACATAGGAAGAAAAAAAAAAAAAACTAACAAAGCAACACACACAGACATGGGGCTGGGGCTTCCCCGCCATGCGCCCGGGCCTGGCGCGGGGAGGGGTCAGGGCCACAGCCCAGAGGCCCCTCGGGGTCAGACCCCTCTGGAGCTCGGGCTGGAGGCCGAGGGCCGTCGGGGGCCACAGCCCGGCCGCGGGGAGCAGCGGAGGGCGGCGGCCTCTCCTCTGCGGGGCTGGCCCAGCCCGCGGCCGCCTCTCCCGAGCCGGGGAAGCTCGGCCGCCCCCGTCGGCCCGGGGCCCTCCTCCGGCCCCCGGAGCGGCGGGCGGGCCGGCGCGATCGCGGTCTGGCCTCCGCCGCTGGCCCTGGGCGGCCGCCGCGCCTTCATTATCTCGGGGTGACTTGCGGCCGCCGGGGCCCCGCCAAGGCTTGGCTCCCGCTCCAACCCCGGGCGGTCGGGCTGGGCTGGTTCCACACTCCGGGGGCCCGAAGCCTCGTGCCTGCCTAGGCTTCCCGGTTTTCCGGAGAGAGAGGTCAGCGTGTTCCCGTCGCGTCGGCGGCCGGAGAGACGGGGACAGCCTCCCTCCCGCTGGCAGTGGTTGGTGTCGGTAAGCTCTGTAGAACCGAGAGTTTTCCTCCTCGGATCTTTCACCTTGTCGCGCTCTCTCGGCAAGGGGCACCCAGCAAGCCCTTCTGCCCCAGGCCTCCCACCCAGGCTGGCAGCCTCTTCACCTTGCTTCTCAGTCCTGCACCTTCCCCAGGGTCACTTCAGAACCCGCTGCTGCCCACCCTTAGTGGCAGAAGAACTTCTAGTCCAGCCAGGGGGGGGTCAGAGCTCCTGTGAGCCCTCACTGTTGTGTGACTTCAAGGTCCCATCCAGAACTGGCTTTTGTCTTCTGCCAAAGACTCCCCCTGCCTAGCCAAAGTCCTCCAGCTCCGGGGTGGCCACCCTCCCCATCCCTGCTGGGGGCCCTAGCCAGCCCCTAACGGAGGCAGCCAGAGGGGCCCAGGCAGGGCAGTCAGCAGATACCTCTCTTCGGGGGCCCATCACTCCTCAGAGGGAGCCCAAGTGACTGCCCAGGGCTCCCCCACCAAGAGCTCTGTGCAGGGGTTGTGCTGAGGGTTAGCGGCCCCAGGAAAGGCTGAGATGCAGGAGGCCGTGGGAATAAAGGGCCCAAGGTGCCCAGAAGGTGCTGGGGTCAGGGGTGGGGACCAGGCGGTGTCCGTGGCTCAGCAGGAGAGATGGGCAAGGGCAGGGGCTCTACCTTCAGGCAAAAGAGCCTCTGGTAGGGTCATCCTGCCCTTTCGGGCACTCCAATTTTTGCCTGTTTTCTGGGACTTTTGTTTTTTTTTTTTTAAGAAGGAGGGTTGGAGGTTGGATCCTGCATTTCCACTCATTGCCCATAGAACAGCCTGGCTACAAAAGGGGCTGTCGATGGCTGCCGCCCCCCAGGTCCTTCATCCAGTCACAGCACACAGCTCCGAAGTTCCAAGTCCCATGGAAAGTGGCAGTGGCAGTGGCTGGGCTGGACTGTGGCCGGAGAATCCCTGGGCCTCGGCACTCAAGCACCATCGGTCCAGCTGCAGCTGGCTCTTCAGCTGGGGGCTGGTTTTGCTCTCCGGCTGCCTCTGCCGGGTCAGATCTTCTCCGGCAAGGAGGAACTGCTGGCATCTGGTAGGGAAAAAGGATGGAAGAAGTCTTTTTCAGTGGAGCCCAGGGGTGTTTCCTCATCACTGGTTCCTGGCAAGAGGGGTTTAGGCAGAAGCTACCAAAGAAAGGAGCCCTCTCTTTCCTCCAAGGACTCTGTGTCAGCCTTGGCACTCTGCCTGGGGTCACCTCCCCCCAGTCCAAGCTCCTAGAAACAGCAGGGACTCTGGCAGCTAGAGATGGAGTGGGGAAGCTGGAATTCCAGGTGGCAGAAGCTGTCTGGGAAGGGCTGAGAGGTGGGGCACTGGCTGGTCCGTTCTGGTACAGTGGCAGCTCAGCTGCGCTAGACCAAGGGCATCTGTAGGGGCAGAAAAGTAAACTGAGTTCAGAACTTGGTGGGCCCTACACCAGGCTGAGGAGTTCATATGCCTTTACTCAGAAGCCCCATTCTGAGAGCAAGGAAGAAATGGAAGTAAAGCATAGGGTGACGGGGTGAGCAGAGGAGGGACGGTGAGGAGCCCAGCCACTGTCAGCCAGCTGATGAGTCTCCCAGGGCAGTGATGGAAGGAATAAGGAAGAGAACTGAAACGGGGAAGTCAGGACGACTGTCTGGCTTTCAGTGAGTTGACATCCAGGGCTCAAAAGACAATCATGGGTGCAGCTGGGGATACAGAGCAGACTTGGAGGACTGACTGAGATGGCAGTTCACATTCTGGAGCCAACTGCACAGAAGTATTGCTGATGCTGTAAAAGAGGGTGGTGGCACCGCTAACGAGAGAGGGCAGTGAGAAGACTTTGGACAGGGTCAAGGGCAGAGCTGCGGGGAGAGCCCGGATTGAGGGAGTGGAGGAGCATCCAGAAAGCACACAGGAATAAACAGCAGAGAGCAAGGAGGCGCAGGATTCCTGGGGCCACAGGAGCCAAAGGAGGGCAGTCTCCAGATGATGGGTATGGTGTGCAGAAGAGAGCACCAGAGGATGCAGAGCAGCAAAAGGCCCTGGCGCTGGTGGGTGCCTTTCTTGAGTCAATCTGGGAGTGAGGGAAGGACTGCCAGCCTGCAATGGGTGAAGGAGGATGCTACCTTTTTGCAAGTTGGATGTTGAAGGAAAATATCGAGGACTCTTGGTTTTTAAGAGGGGGAGGAGGAGGATGTAGATTTGAGGAAAGAGCTGGAAAGGGAAACGCTGGAAGACTCAGGAGTGAAATAAATGATGAGCCAAGTCCTGATATGGGGTGGCTTTGGGCTGGATACATTTTCCCCAGGGACCAGTGGGAAGGAGATGGCAGCAACCCTGAGGGGGAGGGGGAGCCTGTCTCCTGGCTGGCTTTATGTGAGCATTCCAGAGAAGTGAGAAGCGTGGGTGTAGCTCCTCGGGTGAAAAAAGCCTGAGAGAACAGAAGGGATCTGGAAGTGTCTGGTGGAAGATGTGGCAAGGAGTCAACAGAGGTGACGTGATGGCCAGCGCCCAGGCTGAGGAGAGAGGGCACTTGTATCCTCCCTGGCTGTGTCCTCAGTGCCCTGGTTTATCTCACCTCCATTACAAGTATCCTGAGGGTAGCAAATATTTCTCCATAGTCTGAAAGAGGGCTGTACCTGCCACACTGTCAGCTCAAGAAAGCACTGTAGATGCTGACCACTGGGATCAGGACAGCGGCTGGGGGAAGGGCCAGCTGGAAGCTTCCTGATGGGGGGAGGGGCTGGAGAAGGGACAAGTGTGACTGAGTCCTGGAGGAGGTGTTGACATTGCCTGTTTCTCCCCCGGGGATGCACAGGAAGAGGAGGAAAGCAGCCTGGGGGCCCAGGGCTGCAGCCAGAACCAGAGCTGCCTTGAGAGGGGCGATTGCCACCCGACCCAAGCAGGCAATGGGAGAGTTCTGTGTGTGCACACCCGGGTGAAGCCATCTCAGCTTGTCTTAAATTGTCTCCTTAGTGTGCTGTGTGTGTCCTGGACTGTCTTCTCAACTGGGCTGTAAACTATTCAAGGTCAAAGCTGATTTTTTTTTTTTTCCTGTTCCCAGCATCTGGCATAGGCAGGTGTGATTATTTTCTGTCAAATGAATAAATAATCAAGTCAAAGAAACGCAAAGCCTAGTTTGCATGCAGAGAAGCCCGCATCCCCTGCCACAACTATGAAGGAAGAAACCCAGGGCCTGCGCTAACCAGTTGCCTGAGCCCAATGCTGCTAGACCCCGGGAAGCCCCCTGGCGTGTGGGGCCCGGCAGGCCCGGCCCGAGGCCGCTGTGGCTCAGGCCTTACCTCTTACTGTCTTTCCCTTACGGCTTCCTCCACCTTGGGCGCCTCCTGTTGCCTTCCCCGGAAGTCTTCATCTGAAAGGCAGAGAGAAGCTGCCTCATCATCCACCCTGCAGAGCCTCGCGCCAGCATGTCCCCCAAGCTGGGCAAGAAAGCTGACCCAACTCTCTCCATGCCCTCTCTTTGCTGGTGCACATGCTGATCCCAGGGGGTGATACGTGGGTCTGGTGAGAGGCAGCAGGGCACTGTGGGGGTTAGGACAGCTGGGTGCTGGCCTGGCTCCATGACTGAGCTCTGAGATTTTCAACAAGTTCTTCCCTTGGTTTCCTCGTCTATAAAATGGGATGGGGAAGTTGGACTATCCAGATGACCTCCAAGGCCCTTCCAGCCCTTGCTTCTGGATGCCTCCTGACCACCAAAGGGCCCCTCTGCTCTGAGGCATGAGGCTCAGGGTCTGGCTGTGGGCTTGGTAGGGTCCAAGGCAGCCTCTTCTGGCCTGTGTAGCCTTTGGGAGGGGCCGGATGATCGCTGACAGACCTCTGGGCCCAGAGACTGAACCTGCCTAGTGCTTGGCTCTCAAGGTGAGGCCCCTCCATGTGGATAGGGCTGTCTGTCCCCTCACATTCCAGAGAATATTCCCCAGAAACAGCACGTGGTACTTTGCGCTCCAGATAGAGATCTAGTGGAGGTGTGGCTGGGGCCCCCTGTCAGGGGCAGAAGGAAGGGAGAGGCAATATGGACCAAGTGGGAGGACCCATTTCTTTAGGTCACCTGCCCAGCAACCCTTGACGTGTCCCCCAGATTAAGTGCTCCCTCCCCAACAAGTTGGGTCCACTTATGCAATATCCAGGCCCTCCTCATGGACAGCCACCCATCACAGGCAACTTAGAGCTCAAGCTTCCCACTCCCCCGCCTCACCACACGTGTGGCCCTCCACGTCGTCCAGGAGATTGGCTGTTGACACTGCAGCCCCCAGCCTGCCCGGCCATTCAGGAAAACTTTCCAGGGATGGGTGGGCACTGCCATAGTCTTCCCACTCCCTGCCCCTAGCCCTCCACCACCCACTCCAAGCTCAGCAGGCTTCTGCCATACCAGCCTTATCCCCCAGCCTCCCAATGCCTCCCCCAGCCTCCTTTTCTTGGGCTCAACTGAGCAGCCAGGTCCTGACTCTCTCACTCCACTCCCATCCTGGGGACAGAGAAGCGACTTTCTCCCTGTTCTTTGGCTGTTCAGCTTCTGATATCCTGGGGCCCTGTTTGACGAGCATGGATGGGAGTCTGAGTAAAAATGTGGAAAACCTTATTTTACTTAAGGAACTGAAAGTCAGGGCAAAAATGCTTGAGATGAGGAGGTGGAAAGATCTGTCGATGAGCTACACTAGAGAAATGAGGGAAAGGTTTGCTGATTCTGATCGGAGAGCAAGTTTTCTCCCAAGATGCAGTTTACTCCAGACAAAAAGTTGAAAAGTTGTAGGACAACTTCTGAGCCTACAGAAGGAAGACAGCAGACGCTGGCCCACTCCCCAGGCCTGGTCGTGGAGGGCGAGATTGGCACTGAGAGAGGGGGCAGCAGACTCGCAGCAGGGCTCACGGAGGAGAGGAGAGGGCCTCAGAGCCTGGTCCGACTCCTGGGGGAGGGTGCAGCCTCAGGGAGCCCAGCCCACTGCCTCGGTGCCCTTAGCGTCCCCCACCCCGCCCAGTGCCAGGCTGGAAAGGATACGACTGATGCTTCGACAAGTGTTTCCTCTTTGACTTCCTCATCTTGGTCTTCTCCGAGAAGGCCCTGGCCAGTTCAAACAGCTTCCTCCGGGTGGCTGGGGGCAGACAGACCTGTGAGCCAGCAGCCTGGGCACTAGGTAGCTGCCCCCCAAGGCTGGGGCAGGCCCCCCAGGGTGGGGGCAGGTGGGCAGGCTGGCTTGGGAACCCAGGGAGCAGGTGACGTGACAGGAATTGGGGACACGGGCCAGGCTCGTGCCCCGGGGCAAGGAGGCTGCCATCCTGGGTCGGCCTGCAGGGGCAGCAGAGGCCATGGAGAGCCAGACCAGGGACCGTGGCTGGCAGCCAGAGATCCGGGTATTCCTATCCAGCTACAACAGACAACGACACATCTTGGCTTTCTTTCCTGCCGCCTTCCCGCTCCCCTTGCCACCTCCTGAGTTGGTTCTGGGATTTCCAAAACTAATCCAAGATTTTCCCTGAAATGGAGCCTGAAAGGATGGCAGGTTCATTCACACATGGTTGTGTGTCAGGCGGGGGGCTGGGGGGCGGGAGTTGGTTTGGGATGGCCCGTTGGGACTTTGTGGGACCGCCCACAGAAAGTGGGCTTAGTGAAGGCCTCCCCGCTGGATCAGGCCCAGCCAAGCCCCTTCAAGCCATAGAGAACACTAAAAGGGGGGTTGGGGGTGGAGGGCAGCACATTATTCTTCTGCAGACAGCTGGCTCGAGAGGATTTAAAACTTAATTTGTATCCAGACTCAGCTGCAGAGGGAAGTGAGGCAGGAAGGCTGAGGGAGCCAGCCTGCGATTAAAATGTCACTTCGGTTCACCAAGAGTCAGCTGCATTAAAAATTCTGGGTGGCTCCCTCCCTCCCATGAGGCCCCAGGGCCTGTCTTAGAAGAGTTGGGGAGGGGGACATCAGCTTGACTCACATTTTCCCATGTGTTTCAACTTGTCCCTGAATAAGGCATCTTCAGACACAGCGGGGTTGGCGTCGCCGGTTCCTGGAAGGGGGAGACACCTCTGAGGGCCAGGAAGCGAGGAAGGGTGGCGGCCCAAGGCCTCAGGAAGTGGGTCAGGGCTGTCCCCGCAGGACAGGGGTTCAGCCGTACCCTTCCATCTGAGGGAGGAAGCAAAGAGCAGGCTTCTTCCCTGACCAGGAGGGAGCTCAAAGCAAGGATGATGCTCGGAGTTCGAGGAGCATTTCTTTTCCCACCCGAGCCTCGCTTTCCCCCTCTGTAGAAAGAGGGACAGTCCTGTGGTCAGCTGTGTGTGCAGAGAAGCCACTCACATGGGCTCCAGGCTCTGCTTCTCTGACCAACTCCCTGTTCCATGAAGTCGCATTGGTAGCTTGAAATCAGCCGTGATGGGAGTATTTACACCACGGAAGTCACCAGACACGGAGCACTGGGGCTTCCCCTGCACCCCGACCCACTGTTAAACATTCACCAGCACGAGGCTGCCTGGTCTGCATCCCTACATGGTGGGAGAGTTAATGAGGGGGATGGAAGGAAGGTGTGGGGCACAGAGCAGGCCCTCGCCTGCCCCTGGCGATTCCTGTCCCCTTCCTTCCAGGGCCAGCCCCCTCCATTACTGCCCCGAGGCAGAGCTTCTGCCTTGTTAGACAATGAGTGAGAATGAGAATGGGGCTGGTCCCCAAGTCCGAACCCAGTCAGTCACCCAGTGTCCCCGCTCACTCAGCACCCATTCGGGTCTCTCTCTGCTCTTCTAAAGCCCCTGCTCTCCACCCAGCAACTCAGCTAATCCCGAGTCACCTTGCCTGCTAAGTCCCCTGTGAGTCATTCTGATCCATCTCAGCAGCCCTGGTGTCTACAGTTAATTCAGGATCAAGGACAAGAGGCTGTCCTTAAAATCCCCAGATGCACTTCTGGTGGGGCCTAGGCTCCCAGCCCACTGCTTATGAATCAGTTCCACGGGATTTTCTCTCCTCGAGCCAGGATCAGCTGAGCTCCTCATCCTTCTGTTCCCCCACCCTCACTCCACCGTGCCATGTAAGGTCTGTTTGGGGCTGATTCGTTCTCTGAGGCAGGCAGCCTGTGTGTGTGTGAAGGGCACTGACTGACTAGGGGCCACTATGCACACGTATAGGCAGAGACCAGATGGCGAGTGTGAAACCCGGGCCTTTCTGGACCTCTCGGCCCCACGTTCCCAACTCCAGCTCAACCCTCATCTATGCATCTCAACAGCCTGCTGTCGACCCCTGACCCTGTTTTGATGCAATTCTTGCTTCTCACCATCTTGTACATGAAGCTCAAAATTCTCTTCCTCCAACACTAGGGCAGGGCCTTGCCCACGGCAGATATTCCCCAGATACTGAGCGAATGAATGAGGGAACCCTCCCCAGAGGCATCCTGCCCTTCTCCTCGCCATGTGCTTGCTATCGTCAACGAGTGTGTCCTCAGCTTTGCTGGTCCACTCTACCTATTTCTTGGATGTAGCTCCTGCATTCCCCACAAGACCCTCAGCTCCCCAGGGCAGAGACCAAGCTGTCTAAGTCTCCCAGTCCCTCCCACCCCATGGGACATTATACGGTGTGATGTGTGTCCCCTTCTTGCCCATGCTCCAGTCACCTCTAAGGAGTCAGCCAGCCTCCTGCCAATCCCAGCGGTGGGCTCGAGCGCCAGCTGAGTAGGTAAGAACCCAGGGCTGCTAAGAGGAGGGACCTCTCACTCCGGGGAGAGTGTGGTAGGGGCAGAACCTCCCCTCAAGCTTATTTCCTCCTTTTACCCCCAAACTCCAAATACACAGAGCACAGCCGGGTGTGGGCCCCTACACCCTCCAGGCTTCTCCCCCAGGAAGGGCACAGTTACCTGGGGCAGGAGATGGAAAGCCAAAGTCGTTGCCCACAGCTGTGCTGCTGGATTTGGATTTCTGGGACTCGTATTTCAATCGATCTGGAAAAGGACCACATTCCGGGCAGGGAAATTAGTTCCTGGGCTGAGACACAGGACAGTGTTGGAGGGCAAATCCCCACAGTCGCACACGAGCACACAGAAAATATGTGCACACACAAGCGATGTCATAGAAACTACTGCCCTGACGAGCACCTGGGATGTCAGAATGTCAGAGTTAGAAGGACCCTCAGGGGCCCTATAGCCCAGCCCCTCCTTTAAATGGAAAGGCCCCGAGCCCTGCAGCACCTTTGCTGCAGAGCTAGGGCCAGCCTTCTCCCTGCACACCTTGCTCCCTCGCCCCCCGCTGTCAGTCACACATACGCACACACACACACACACACACACAAATATACACACACTGTGACCCTCACAAGACAGACCCCCCCACAGCTCTCTCACTGTACCCCACCCCAAACACACTCCCATCCTGAAGGGGAAAGGCAGCCAGGCTGGAGAGCAGGGTTCCAGGCCCAAAGACAACCCAAACCCCCCAAAAACTCAAGAGTCCCAGCTCCAATGTCTGCTTAAACCCCTGGACACAGTCACTCTGTTCCTGGAGCTCCAGACACGTCATGCCAAGGCCAGTACCTGGCACAGAGCAGATGTGCAGGGGGAAGGAGAGAGCCTAAGGGGACATACCCCTGCTTCTCTGAGTCCCAGGGGAAGCAGAAGGGGTGGCTGGTGACTCGGGGCCCCGTTGGCGGCATTCTGGGGTTCCCACAAGGATAACTTGGGGAGAACTGTGTCTCAACAGGACAAAGGCCACCCTTAGTCTCCAGTTCAGTGCCCCTTCTGAGCCCCAAGGCTAAAGCCAACACCAACTGCCTTCTTCAGCCAGAAGAGTGGCCGCGGCGCCCCACCCGGTGCGCCACCTCTCTCCAGGGCGAGGAGGAAGTCGCGGTTGCGCTGCAGCTCCTTCATGAACTCCTCGTTCTGCAGGAAGAGCGCGACCCTCTCGTCCTCCAGGTACTGCTTCCAGCGGCTCTCCTGGTCCCGGGGCCCAGGTCCGGCTGCAGGGGGTAGGCCTCCCTCTCCGCTCACGGGCTTGGAGCCCCCGAGGTTACCCTGAGGAGGGGAGCAAGCATGCTGAATGGCTACCCACAAACATCCATGCACACCTGGGTGTACACACGTCCCTTCCCAGGATCCTCTAGCCTCACCCTGCGGCCTGCACCTCCTAGCGGGAGCTAGTCGTCAGCCAAAATCCAACTGCACAGGCCAGAGCTCTCTCTGCTGGGGAAGCAGCAAGGACTTAAAAGTTGTTTTTCCTGCCCCTTGGACCACCCCATCCCTTCATCTACAACCTGGACAGTCCTGAAAAGTGACCTGCAAATAGCTCAACAGCCAACACATGGATTCCCAAACTCAAAACTCTGCCTGTACTCAGGTTGAGACCCCCGCTCCTGCCAAGGCCCCTTGGGACATACCAGCATCTGGGGAGAAGCCCTCTGGCCCTTTCCCAGGGCAGGGAAGGAAGGTGCTGCCACCCTGTGCTGTTGGTTGCCCCCATGCCCACCTCCCTCCAGCCAGGGGCGATGGTGCAGCCAGAGAGTCTTCAGGGCTGTCACCTCCCAACAGGAGACCTCTAGACCCAGACAGAATGGGCCTTTTGGTTCAGTATTCTTTCCCTGCAAACCCGGGGCAACAGAAATAGCTCAGCCTGGGCTTAACCATCAGGAAGTGAAACTGGCTAGCACAAACCATGTGGGCAAGCAGAGACGCTGACAGGCAGGTGGGAGGCAGCCCCCTTACCTGTATGCTATCCAGCTGCTGGGGCAGGATGCGGAGAAAGTCATCGGGGAGGTTGCCCAGCAGTGGTGGGTTCCAGTTTCGATAGCGCCTCTGGCTCAAAGGGGGTCCAGAGCCCAGGACATCGATGCTGGGGGGTGAGAGGAGACAACGAGGAGGGAAGTCAGGCCCACACACAGGTGTCCCTGCCCATCGCACCAGGATCCTGCTCAGAATGGGGCTCGGCTCTGAAGCTTCCCATGGCCTCCCCTGCCTCCAGGACAAAGGCCCGGTGCTCCAGCTCATCTTCTCAATCAGGCCTGGCTGACCCCAGCCCCTGGCCCCTGGCCTGGGTTCCTGCTGCACCCGAGTTCCACCCATCTCCAACCGCTCAGTGCCCACAAGGTCCCGAGGCCTAGAGCCCTCTCTGCCCATGGTGCTCATGGCACTCACATTGGGCACTGTGGCCTGAGAAGTCGATGTTTATGAGAGTCCTCTAAAGACAGCAGGGGTCATAGCCTTTCGTCCTTATATCCTAGCACCCGGCACAGTGAGCTCATGGCTGATGAATAACAGGTAATATGAATAGACCCATAAGCCACCAACAGGACAGCCTGCCCAAATGTTGGTTTGCTGGGGTGGGGGAACAGGGGGACGCCAGGATCCCTAGAGAGAGTAGAGCGGATCCAGGCTCCAGTTCTGGCTCAGCCACCAGCCAGGAGGGTGGTCCTGGGCAAGACCCTGCTCTGGGCTGGGGCTCAGTTTCCTCATCTAGAAACTGCTGCCTCTCTGCCGACGCAGGTGGGAGCCCCTCAGGAGGCTGTGCGGAACGGCGTTCTGAAAAGGCACACTGCCGCGTGGGAGTGCGAGGGGTCTGTGTCCAGGGGGCACTCAGGAGCCACTCTTCAGAGGTAAGGTGCCCCGGAGGGGTCTGGGCCCGGGCAGCGGCCGCCGGCGAGGTGGGAGGAGAGGCGGAGAGGCGGTGGCACACGCCCTGCCTGACCCCCAGGCTGCAGGCCTGCCTTCCCGGGCCTGAGGGCAGCCTGGGGCCCGGCCAGGAGCTCCCCACAGCTCCTGGGCAGCCTGCAGCGTGGCAACCGCAGGACACGTGTTCTGCTGAATCAGGGAAATGACACACACAGAAGGCAGCCGAGGGCCGGGGGCGGTGGGGGCCACTCTCGCTCTCGGCCTGGCTTTGATTTGGCCTCCAGCTCCAGGAATCCCGCCCGCCCCCTCACTGGAGGGGAGCTTTTCCGGGCTGCCGCTGACTATGGAAATAACTTCCTTTCCTTTTCTATTTTGGGCGGGTGGCCTGGCGGGGGCGAGGGGGAGGGACGGGGGCGGCAGCAGACGGGCTAACAAGCTGCTAAGAGCACGGTGGGAGCGCAGCGCACGCAGACTGGAGCCAAGGGAAACCCGGCGCGCCCCGCCCACCCTCTCGCGGTACCGATGAGGGAATGGTCCCCAGAAGAGCTTGCATCACAACCCGGGACTCTGATTCCTGGGCAAATTTCTCTCTACATCACTCTGCCGCCTTCCGTGACTCTTGGAAGCTGCGTTTTTCTCCAAGGGCCTGAGGGCAGGCGAGGGGATGCCCAGCTCTCAGGGACTTGCAGACCAGCACGGAGAATTCTCTCAGGGTCACCACCCTTCCTCGGGCTTCAGGGTCTTCGTCTGGGACACGGGTGCCCACTCCAACTCAGCCACACCCAGAGCCACCCAGCAGAGCTTCACGGGGAGAGCCCCGGTATTGCATTTGGACGCCTCCAGCCATTTGTTACTGAGAACCCAAGGGGGGAGTGGGACAAGGATAGGAAGGCCCCGTCCTCAGCCAAGTTCCCCTTGCTGCTGGGCCCGTGGTCCTGGAGGAAGGACAACCCCAGCCCCCTCCCGGCCCCTTGCCTTGGCACCAGGCGGAGATGAGGTCAGCCCGCAGCTGCGAGAGCCAGGGGGGCCCCCCCGGAGCCCAGGCGGCCCAGGCAACTCCATTGTGGTCGGAAAGGAATGTCAGAAATGAGCTGAGAGGCAAATAAAAAACTTCCAAGGCTGTAATTTCAGCGGAAAAACAGCAGGTGGCCCGTGCGGAGGGGCACCTCTGAGTTTCAGAGCCGGTCTTCCATTCAGCAGATGGAGGGAAGGACAGGCTGGGGGAGGGGAAGGAGAGAGAAGGCTGGGGAGGCTCTGCGGCCCAGAGCCTCTGCCCCTGGACCCCAAAACTAGAACTTCACACCCCATCAGAGCCCCAGGTTTACCACGGGACATCAGACCCCAGAAGGATTTCAGAGACAAACCTTCCAGGCAGGACTTTTGGTAAAGACTGGACAGTGAGGTGCAAATGGGGTCAGGCCCTGTCTCGGGGTCCACAGATCATCCAGGCAAACCCTGGGCCCAGGGACCCTGGCTTTCCAGGCACACTCCCCTGGGATCACCCTGCCTCTCTGTGTCCCCGTGGGGCACGCTCCCAAACTCGGCCCATCTGCAGTCTCACAGGCACCCCAGTGACTGGAGGTGGCAGAAGGGTACCAGGCCATTCCTCCCTGAACCCCCTACTCAAATCTGATCTCCCCCAGTAGCCAGAGGAGATTCCAAAACACTAACCTGGTCACATCACTCTCTAGTTTAACCTGCTGGCTGCAGGATAAGGTCAAACTCCTTGGAGGACCCACGAGGCCCCCCATGATCTACTGGCCTCTTCAGCCTCACCAGCCATTCCATACTTCCTGGAGCACCCCAGGTGGTCCCCTCTTTCCTGCCTCCAGGCCTTTGCACATGCTGTCTCCTTTGCCTGGAACGCCCTCCTTCTTCACCAGGTCACAGCTTGGACCTCACTTCCTCTAGGCTGCCTTGCCTGTGTCTATGCCTCCCCCAGACTCTGATCTCCTTGGAGGCTCCTTGGTATTCAACCCAATGAATACAAGGTCCCTGTGTTCATCTCCACATCACACATATTGCAGGTGACTCAATAAATGCTGGAAATGAACGTCCTGGATGGAGAGACTGAGTGAGGCCCTGGAAGTGGCTTGGGGTGGATCTGGGCCAAGCAGGGCCATCCTGGGGTAAAGAGGCATGTGCTCAGAGGCTGGCCCTGCCTCTTGTGAACACTGGTCTCTGAGGGGAGCCTCACCACTGGTCTCAATGTTCAATGTTAGAGCTGACCTCCGAGGCCAGCCAAGCAGCCATGGGGTAGAAGGAGCAGTAAACCATTGATGGCAGGTCTGGGCCATACCTGGACTGCACTAAGTGCTCCACACACAACATCTCATTCAATCCTCCCAACAGTGCTGAGGCAGGGATTAGTATTCCCATTTCACAGATGAGGCAAATGAAGCTCAGAGAGGTTTAGCAGTGAGCCAACGGCCACACAGCAAAGGTACCTAAAGAATCAGAAGTTAGGCAGCTGAAGGAAGGGGATGGGGAGAGTACTCTGCTTCTGTCTGACTCACAACTCAAGTTTTCTTCCTACATCCACCCCCAGCCCAGCAAAGCCTTCATTTCTGAGTCAGGCCCCTGAACCTCAGGCAAGGGCAATAACTTGTCCAAAGTCACAGGCTGTGAACGAGGCCTCCTGAGCCTAGGTCTAGTGCTGAGGTCACCTTGCCCCCAACTGGAGCTCCCATCACTGGGTGCACTCCCCCTGCCCAAGGCCCCACCCCAGCCACAGCAGCTGAACACCCAGCCAGAGGGGAGTAAGGATGTGGCCAGCGTAGCCAGGCCAGGTTTACACTGGGATTCTGTCTCTTACAGCCTCAGTTTTCCCTCCTGAAAAATAGGCAGAACTATTCTGCCTAACAGAAACTGAGGTTTTTGTAAAAATATCTTAGGATATTAAAAACATAAGTCAAAGGAAAACCATTTGGCCCTGGGCTCTGTGACCCATTCCGGCCGCAAGTCCTGCCAAGGCCTCATCCAGACCCACCCACTCACTCCCTGCCTCCCACTATTACCATGACAGCCTCCTGGTGCCACCTGTGATAAAGGAAGGACCCCCCCCCCAGCTCTGCTCCTGTCCCTGCCTTGAAACACTGCCCCTCCCCCGGTTCCCCCCATAACTTTGGGGCCTCCTTTAGCTCCCGGAGCTGCAAGCACAGAGACTTGTCTCCTTAGGCATGTGAAGGACACAGCAGTGAAGAGCACTGGCTTTGGAGTCAGAATGACCTCGGTTAAATCCCAGCTCTGAGGTCTTGGGGAAGTTACGAGACCTCTCGGAGGCTAGGATTCCTCCACTGGAAAGTGGGGATGACCACAGTGCCTCCCTCGCAAGTTGTTAGGTGATTGGAATGTGCTGGTGTAGATCCAGGACCTCGAACATTTCTGGCATTCGAAGGCGCTTTGTAAATCGTAGCTGTTCTTCTGACCTACGCCTGGATGACAACAGCATCCTCCACTGCCCCTGTCTGGGGCTCCCAAGATCCCCAGAAGGAAGGAGCCACTGGAACAAGCCCCCTGACCCATCATTACCACCCCCGGCCAGAGTCATTCGAAGGAACAGTGGCTCGAGGACAAAGAGGCACCCGGGCTCCTGCAGCCCCACCACAAACAGGGGGCACAGGAAGCCAGCACCTCAGAGACCCATGGGAACTGGCTGGCAACCAGCTTCACTTTAAACTTCCAAATTACAGAGTCCCTGACCTGGAAGAAGTCTCTGGGGACCTAGCAGTCTATTTGCCTGCCTCTAGCTGTCCAACTATCCCAGAAGAAGAGACTTGCTCCCATTGCTTAAAAATCCTCCCGGCATCTCTAGACCAGGGATGGCAAATAGATACCATTCCATCAATTACTGATGACTGTTGGGAGTGCTGTGTTGAGGAGGATTCTGAGGTTCCGTCTCGAGTCAGCAGGAAAGAGTACAGTGATCAATCAGTACTGTTTGCGTGGGCTCGAGAGGGGAAGTGTCAGTACACGTTCCATGAGTTTGTCATTCCCACTCTGCATGTCCCTTAACTCTAAGCTCCCGGAAAGCAGAGGCCGAGCCTTATTGTATTGAACTCAGTGTCCTGTAAGGTGTTCAGCACCTAGAGTGGGAATTTAGTGAACCTTTATTCTTGCGATCCTTACATTTTGAAAGTTCTCCTTGTTATCTAGCTAAAATGTCTCTTGCTGCAATAGAAGTCTTTTTTTGGTGTAATAATATACTGAGGGGTCCAGGCAAGTTTCCCACTGTGTTTGTATTCAACCCCAACCCCGATCCCCTTCTCCACCGCCCTGCGCTCTGAAAGGAGGTGGACTCTCACCGGGGAGGCGGGGTGGGGGGGGCCAGAGGGTAAGGCCTGTCGAACATGTGCATGTGGTAGGCCGGTGGGGAGTACACAGGGGGCGGCTCTTCATCGGAGCTATCAGGTTCCAAAGTCCTTTCCAGGATCTAGATCAGAGGCAATAAAGAAAGAAATATTAACAATCCTTCCTTGAATGTCAGTAACATTCAGATGAAATCAAGCATGGCCGAGGAGGTGCAGCGCGGGAACTCTGCGTTGCTGGGGAGCGTGTAAACTGATACAACCACCACTTTGCGCAACGCTTTCGGCTTTATAAACTAAAGCCAAACGCACGGCTACCTCTGCCACTACGATTCCAACACACGCAACAGACATGAAAGCGCACGTCCCCAGAAGAATGTTCGGAGCAGCATTACCCATCCAAAGGAGGTTCCGAAACAGGCCAGACAAAGCACAGTGATAGAAGCAGAGCCATGTGACCTCTGTGGGGTGGGGAAGGCTGCAGGGGGCACAAGGGTCTCCAGGCTCTGTAGATGCTGCTTCTTGACCTAGGTGCTGCTGAAACTTCACTGAGCTGCACACTTATGATGCGTGGACTCTTCTGGACATGGGTTATTTTTGCTAAATAACTTTAACGTCGTTCATACCCTCTCTCAAAGCACGTCCGTGTCGATTATCTCACCTTAACCTCAAATGACTTAGCAGGGAGGATGTGGATCGTCCGCCCCATTTCACAGATGAAGAACCTGAGGCCTAGGCTGACTAAGTGGCATGGCAAAAGCCATACACTGTTTTCAGAACTGAGTCTTCTACTTGGACATGGTCTTGCATCAAGGGTCCCTCCCTGCGGCACGATGCCTGCACACCCAGACGGGATCCTCAGGGCGGACAGTGGCCAGGGGAGAGGCCAGGGGCGTGCCCAGGATGCCTGCTCTCCCTCCTACACTCCTTTCTTCATCCAGATGCTAGAAAGAGGGGCAGGAAGAGGCCAAGGCTGGGCAAAGGCTTGGGTTCCTGCTACACAGACTGACCTGGACCCTTCCCCAGAGGACCACAGAGGAGTCTGGGGCAGAAGGCGGCCATTGACCAGGAGATCCCAGGTCACACGCACTTCAACCAGCCTACAGCTTAGCCTCCTGCTCCCCTCTCCTCTCCTCCCCAGCTCTGTTTCCATCTCCTCCAAGACCAAAGAACATGGGAAGGGCTCAGAGGCGGTCAGTCAGCCCCAAAATCCCCAAGCCCCATGATGCTTTAACCCCAAATGAGTTTGCAGAAGTCACTGCTAACCCACTCCTGCTTCTGCCTCTGCAAGCCTGGGCTGCACTGGCACATGCCTGGCCTGAGCCCAGCCATGCCCAGGCACCTGGGGATGCACAGGGACACCTGCAAGGGACACTCGCAGGAGTGAGCATGCGCATGAGTGCACACACATATACACACACACACATACTGCCACATTCTGTGTACACACAGCCAGCCTGACCTAAGGAGGCCTCCCGCCCTGGAATGCACTAACGTTCTTTCCTTTGAGGCGGAAAGTATTTAAACAGATGCTTTGCAGAAAAAGAAGAGTGTAGCTGCTTTGCTGGCCACTGCTCTGTTTACCCCAAATTTCCACAAGAAAAAAAAAACATCGCGATAAGCTCCACTCCTGTTCTTTGGCGAGCCCGGGACAGCACCGGGGGACAGCGGTCCAGGCTGAGCCTCTGCTCCCTCAGCGGCTGGCCTGGCCTGTCCCCACTGAGGCTGGTCTGAGTGAGTTGGAGGGGAGAGCTCGGTAGGAATTGTTTCCAGAAGGAAGCTTCTCAGCATTCCCTGCGTCTGTGGCCTGTAGCAGTGGGCCCCCCAGACTCAGGGAGATCATTCTCCGAGGCGGCACCAGAAAGCCCCCTCCCCTCTCAGCTCCTCAGCGTGGCCTCCTGGGGCTGCACGAACCAGACGTTCATCAGAGGCTCCTGGAGCAGAACAGGGAAACGCCAAGGGGCCAGGCGGCAGGCCAGGCACGCTTGGGAAAGGCTGATCCCACTTCTCTGGGCAGAGTACCCTCAGCCATGCTCTGGCCTCCTCCAGCCTCTCTCCCCCCAATTCCACCAGCCACAATGAGGTGGTTCTTCTGGCTCTAAAGGTGCTGAAGTTGTCAGCTCTGCAGCCTCCTGACTTAACTCAGTGTGGGTGATGGATGCCTGCCAGGTGCTCTCGGGGCCAGGGTCTGGGCCATTTATCTGACAGGAGATATTTCTCCGTGGCAAGGATACCCCTTAGGCCAGCCCACCATCCATCAGCCCCCAGAGAGGGGGCTTTTTCCAGTCAGCAGTTATTGTCATTCCAGCTGCTGCTCATAAATTTTCCAAAGCACTTTCCGCTGGCTCAGGAACTGCCTGCCGATGGGCCCAGGCGGAGCTCTAAAGGTGGGGGGCTGGGGAACAGCCGAGGAGGGGTGCTGAGAAGGGGCTCAATCTGGAGAGCAAAATTCTTAGGGAAACAGAAGCACACACAGTGCGGGCCCATCTAGCGGATGGTGCAGCCTTGTGGAGATTCACAGGCTGTGGGTGCCGGGGACAAAGGAGGAAATATCTTACCTGCCAGACTGTCAGAACAAATGAGACTGTAGAAAGGGTCAGAGTTCACAGAGAACTTTCCTTCCAGCTCACATTTAAAGTATGTATCTGCAAACACACACACACACACACACTCTCACACTCACACCTTCTTTTCACATAGAGGATCTGGTTTTTCCAAAACTCCCTCCACTGGCTAATCCAGGCAGATCACAGGAGTGGTCTTCCAGGAAAAGGGACTAAAAGCTGTGCAAAGACAGCAGCAACACTTATTCATTTAACAAACACTCCCTGAGTGCCTGCTACGTGCCAGTAGTGTCCTGGGTGCTGCAAGTGAAATAGGGATGAGCCAGATGTCACGGCCCACAGAGCTGCTCCTCTACCTGGAGAGAGAAATCTCAGGCAGCACCCACTAAGAGAGGAGGATCAAGTGGGCTCTGACCTGCAGGATGACTCTGATTGATGGAGAGCGGCTGCCTGCAGGGCTGTGTTGAGAAGGACTCTGAGGCCACATTGGGTCTAGGTTTTCTCACTGTAAATAAGGGTAATAATGATGCCACCTCACAAAGTTCGTGAGGATTAGAAAGAGACGATACACCTAAAGCTTGTAGGAGGGTGCCTGGCGCAGGATGCGACTCAGTGAAGAGCAGAGTTAAACCCCTTCTGCTGGCTCCTTCCATCTTCATGTCCCAGACGCCCCTGCAGGCAGGAACCCTCGCACTGAAAGATTCTGTGTCCCTTCTGTGCCCAGCACCGCAGGTCCCGTGGAGACTAGGGGTCCAAACGTGTGCTGAACTCTGAGATGGGGCCAGGGAGGACTGGCCACGGCCAGCAGGTGGGCCTGGATGCAGTGGGGTGGTGACTTCTCCCCCAGCCACCTCCCCAGAGAGAGGAGAGAACCTCTTGGGTGGCGCTCACTACCGCCTCCATCACCCCATGATCAGAGGACTTTAGCTAGCTAGTCTGATCCATCGCTCTCCTCCGTGGCTCCTCATGCCCTGGGGATACAGCCCCACTGTTTCCGAGCAGCCTTGTCAACCTCCCGGTACCTGCTGACTCTAGGAATCTAACAGAGGCTCCTGCTGCCAGTTCCCTAACTACTCATGCTCTATTTCACCTCTGAGCCTTTTCACAAGCTGTTCCCTATGCCTGCACACCCTTCCCCTCATTCTTCACTCTTCCTTTGGGTCTCAGCTTAGGCATCTTTTCCTCTCTGCTGCTTCCATTTCTCCCATCATAGCACTCACCACTCAGGACTGGGATTGCCTGACTCTTGCCTCTAGTCCCCACTGGACCGTGAGCTCTGTGAGGGCAGAGACTGTGTTTCTGTCTTGGCCAAAGTGGATACCCAGAGGTTTGAGAGGAGCCTTTCTTGAAAAATACAGACTAGAGGGCTCCAGCCTGGAACTGGGATTCAGTGTTGGGGTGGGGCCCAGGTGTCTACATTTTTAACAAGCTCCTTGATTCAGATGACCCCTGACCTAGAGTCTAGTACTGTGCCTGGCACACCACTGAGTTGGTGCTCAGTGTTTGTTGAATGACTGCATGATTTCTGCCCATAAAATAAGTCCACTGACTGACTTGGGTACAGTTTCTCTGGGAGAAATAAGGCTGCTTGCTAGTTAGAACCCAGACAGGGGTATAACCTAAGGCCGCTAAGAGGTCCTAACAGTTGTTGGAGCTCCTGGTGAATTCCCGGGCCGCGCCCCTACCTCCGCGGGGATGCTGTCCTCCGAGTCGGAGCTGTCCTCGTAGACGCTGCCGCCCCCGGCCTCCAGGTTCATCTGCAGCAGCTGGTCGATGGTGGCGTCCACCGCGCCGCTGTTGGCGCGCAGCACGCACTCGATGATGTCGTAATCCATATTGGGGAACATGGTCTTGAAGTCGTCCATGGCCTGGTTGAACTCGAGGCGGCGCACCTGGCGCGCGGGCCGGCTGTTGTTGAGCTCCTGCGCGGCGGCCGCGGCGCTGCCCTCGGCCCCGCGCGCCCCGCCGCCCCCGCCGCCGCCGCTGCTGCTCCGGCGGAACAGGCTGGTCATCCTGCCGAGCCGCTGCGGGAGAATGTTTCCAGGCGGCCCGAGCCCCTTCCCCCGGGGCCGCTCCCTGCGCCGTCGCCCTCGCTCGGCGGGGCGGGTCGGGAAGCTCACTCCCGCGTCTCCCCCGGGGCGGCCAGGCGGGAACCGCACGCGCGAGGTCCCTGGGTCAGGAGACTAGGGCGCGGGGCCACTGGCGGCCCTCGGCGAGTGGTCTTCGCGGGGCGGCGGCATCCGGGCCTGGGCCGGGTGGGGCTTCACGGCTGGTCATCCACACCCCCGGGGCATCCTGGGGCCGGCTCCACGGACGGACGGTCCCACCTGAAACCAGGGGAAACAGAGTCAGGGGCACAATGCAATCAACTTGAGCTCAGGGGGATTAGGGCGACCCCTGCCCCGGGGGAACTGCTGCTTTCTGCTCTCTCTCCAGCTGCAGCCAGAGTTCTCTCCTAACACAGGAGAGCTACCAGCCAGCAAGGGCTTACTCTGGGCCAGGCACCATCTAAGTGTTCTGTGTGGGCTAACACCTGACACGGCCATGAAGCAGGTGCTAGTATCCCCATTATGCAGATGGGAAAACTGAGGCTTAGACGCTGAGGAAGTGGAGGAGTTGGGATTTGAACCCAGGACTGTGGCCCGCAAGCCACTGGTCTCAACCAATACACACACTGCCAAGGACCCCTGAGGACCTGGTTGGGGCAGAAGGGGCTCTCTATAGGCCATGTACTGCCCCTCTGGTCTCCAGCCACATCCAGCCCCTGCTTTCCTCATCTCCCCACATCACAGTCCCAACATCATGGTGCCACCATCATGGCGTCCCATGTGTGCAGAGCTCCAGGAAATCAGCGGCAGGGAACCTGCAGCCCACACAGAACAGGACATGGAAGTGACCACCAAGGTCGCACTGCTGTTAGTGCATCAACTGAGAGTTGAATGTGTCCAAAAACAGCAAGTTCTGACTTTCTCATGCTTATTCCAAGATTACAGTAATTTTGCTAATTGTAGAAAAGTAGCAGCTTTATTTTAAGGGACTGTTCCATCAAAGGACGTTCTTAAGTTTGATGAAACGGGTGCAAACCTGTTTTCCCTTTTCTGGGACTTGGGGTCTTAATCTTAACAGCCGATAGAGCAAAGTTGGTGTGAGCAAATCAACGGGATGGTCTTCCTTGCCGTGATCTCAGCAGTCAAATAACAGATGACGTAAGGAAGACCAGACCAGCAGGGTGCGGAAGGTGCGGTGGACGTGCCAGCTCTCACCCCGGGGCCAGAGAACCCATCGTTACCACTGATTCCCTCTGTCCCTTTAGGTCAGCCCCCTCAGAGGTAAAATGGGACCTCATTTTACTGTCCCCCAGTGCCCCAGAGCCACCATGCTGAGTTCTTATCTCCTTCAAACCTCCATCTCCTTAGGGGGACATGGAAAGTGTCCAGGGCTCCTGTTCTGGGCCTTGCTGGGTGGCTGTCTGCCTCGTCCGAGGGAGGCAGGCCCTCTTCAAGAACAGGACACGAGAAGCACGTGGGCCCCAGGCGGCCTCCGGACACTGATGTTACAGGACAATAATCTCCTCCCACCCCCAGAGAAAATCTGCTAACACTCTGGTGTAGGGAGATCTAGATGCTTTTTCTGTGCATATACTGCCATATGTCGGAATTTATTTTACTGAAATGTGATCAAACCATAAATTCTACTATGCAATTTGTTTCTTCCACTTAATAATTTATTGTAGCCATCTTCCCGTGTCAGAACATATAGATCTACTTCATCGTTGTTAATGCCTGAGTAGTATTCTTTGACTGGGTGAAGTATGATTTACTGTCTAACCTCCTCCACCCCATCTCTTCCCAGATGAGGAAGTCACAGCCCAGAGAGGCCAAAGCCATTTCCCAAGGAGACAGAGAGGGGTGACCTCAAATGATCAGTCCAAGAATTTTGTTATGAGAATCAACACGGGAAGGTGGCCAAGTATGACACAGCCTCCCTCAGCTGGCTTTAGACACCCAGCTCCCCACCTCCACGCCTCCCACCGCTCCCGACACGCTGGAAGGTTGAGGATGCTGCTCGACTCTGTCCCAACCCCTCCGAGGCGCGGTTCCACCCCGGCAGCTGCTTTTATGCTGTGTTCAGGAGACCTGCCCTGAGGCCTCTAACGAGGACCTCAGGGCCAGAAGTCCCCAGAAGCCAGTGCCCCGGGCTGCCATCTGCTGTCCTGGTGTCGTCAGACACAGGGGTCAGCGCCTTGTGCTAAGGCCTCTGGAGTCAAGACGCCTTCTCCCTGCCCCTCAAGTAATTTAGTAAGAGAGATTGAGGGACCCAGCTCTCACTTTGCCAAGGGCAGTCCCTTGGAGAAGGAAGCCAGGACCCCATCCACCCTTGGCAGAGGAAGAAGGAAGATGATGAGGCCATCATTTCCCCCATTAACAGCCCTCTTTAGGGGTCCCTCGGGCTCTGAGCCTCTCTGACTGTTGGGAAGCCCCAGAGAGGCATTCTCTCACTCCTGCCATTTATAGTAAATGCCCTGTTTCAGACTCAGGCTGCAATTCCTGCTCCGCCAGGCCCAGCTGGGGGACCTCATACAAGTCTCCTCTCCCCACTGTGCCCAATGCCCTCACCTATCGTATGGGGCTTCAATGAGAATTAAACAAGATAATCGTCAGCACCGTGCCTGGAACATGGTTAGCAGCTCGACTGTTGTTGCCCCTACCCCAGAAGGCTGGCCAAGAGCCAGGAGCAGTTGGTATACTAGCCAGGCTGCTACCCGGAGTGGATGGGGCGGGGGCTCCAGGAGATGCTCCCCCAGCATCTGGATGTCAACTCCTGGAATTCCTTCAGCCCTCTGCTGACCTGGGCAGCTGGATCAGACATCGCAGCTCAAGCAGCCTCTTCCTACCCCAGGTGCAAAGCCTTGAGAACTAGCATTTTGTGTGTGTGCTGCGACATATAAACAGCTGACAACTTGAAGGCGGCCGCACACCCTGTTCCACATTACAGATGAAGAAATGAGACCCAAGACCAGGAGGGAGTTGCCCAAGGTCACAGAGCCAGGGGTGGCAAAGTCTAGACTTTTCCATCAAAGGGCAGTTCTGTGGGTGAGGAGAAACAGTGATGAGAAACGCAGACAAACAGGACTCAATGTACAGAAATACCATTTTCACTTGATCTGCAAGGACTCACAGACTCCCGAAAGCCAGGCTGCCTATAATTAGCACCAGGTGGGGCTGTGGGGGCCCCCACTTCTCACAGGACCGTCCCTCTCCCCCTCGCTGAACTCAGGTGCAGAGTCTGCGGCCAGGGCTGAGGTGTGACTAGTGTGGCTGGGAGCAGAGAGAAAGACTGTCCTTGGGGTCAGAGTCATCCGCACCACCCTGCCTTTTGCAACCAGCACAGCTCAAATGAAAAGCAATTTAAAACACATGAAAGAATTAAGGCAGGCAACTTAGGTTTATGAACTTGTGCCAGGCGCTTTCACATTTAATCTTTATTACAACTCTGGAGATAGATGTTATTGTCTCCATTTTATAGCTGTGGAAACCAGTTCAGAGAAGTTAGGTAACTTCTGCAAAGTCACACAGCCAATATGTAGAGAGGCCAGAATTAGGAAACCCACTTCCTAAGAGCCAAAAATGCCAAGTCAGGCTTACAGGGCTAGGAGCCAAGGAGCCTCAGAAATGCAGCCACGTGTGCCCCAGGCTCAGGAGACTGGGCACAGCATAGCTGACTCGCCAGCAGAGGAAATGTGACCCAGACAGCACTGGGGGAGGGAGGGGAGGAAGGGTGTCTGTTGGCTCTGCCCTAGAGCCCTCTCTGTGACCTTGAGGAAACCACTCCACCTCTCTGAACCCCAGCTGCTGGGCGCGGGCAGGGAAACAGAGGGAAATAACCCCTGACAGTCTTCTGAAAAAGGAGGCGAATTAAACCCGCTGAGCCCATTAGGCGTCTTGGAGGCCGACTCAAAGGTTCTCCTGAACTCACAGCTGTGAGCAAGCTGGGGATTGGGAAGCAGAACCCCACACCTGTCCTCCCCCAGGTCCCAGGGAGCCAGACCTTCCACCTCCCCAGAAAGGAATCCAGGCCTGGCAGGGCGGCAAATGGCCAACCTTCACTCCAGGCTGAGCAGACAGCCAAGGCCTGAGTCACTCCCGGCCTGGCCCAGGAGGTAGGCATGCTGCGTCGTTCTCCTGACCTTGCTCAAGGTCATCCCCGCCAGTCTCCTGCAGGGCCAGGTGGGCCCCACATGGGGGATGTGAGAGCCCAGGAGCCAGAGGCCCAAGTTCCCATTCTGACTGGGCCAAGTGAGGCTGTGTGACTTGGAGAAGTTCCCTCACTTCTCTGAACCTCAGCTTCCTCGTTTGTCCAAACAGGGATAATACGGACCTGGAAGGGGTGTTGTGCTAGAACTTATTCAGGCACCTGGAGCATAGTAAGCACCCAATGAGACCGGTTGGCGTGGCCTCGGGCACAGGCCTTGGCTCTTTTCTTGGGCTGCACTCACGCCCAGAGAGATCTTATCCAGTCCCATGGCTTTAAATACCGTCTATACACTGGATACTGGCTCCCAAGTTTCTCTTGCCCTGAGGTCTCCTGGGAACACGCCCTTCACCTCCACACATCCGACCTGCTGCCTCCACTGGGACAGCCAAAGGCAGCTCCTCCATTGTAACAGGTCATCCAACTTCACGGTTCCATCCAGCCGCGACCTGCTCCTTCTCACCTTCTCCACCTCTGTTAATGGCGACTCCAAGTGGCTCTGGCCAAAGCCAGGAGTCGTCCTGAGTGCCTGCGTTCTCTTACACCCCACATCCCAACGCAGCAACTCCAGTCTTCTCCATCTTCAAAATGATTCCAGAATCTGGCCACTCCTCGCCACCTCCACTGCTGCCACCCTTGCCTGTCTCCCTGCCTCCCTCATTGTCTCCCCCATGAGACTACTCATCACAGGGATCACGTCGTTCCTCTGCTCCAAACCCCCCATCGCATTCTATGTCCTCAAAACACAACCCAGAGCTTTACTGTGGCCCACTAGGCTCCACATGGTCCTGCCCGTGCCACCTCTCTGACTTTGCCGTCAAACCACGCACACACACAGACCCTCACTCTCTGCCCGCCTCACTCTCTCCAGCCATCCTGGTTTCTCGCTAGTCCACCCACAAGCCACACACGCTCCCATCCAGGGGCTTCTGAAGCTATTCTTTCCACTGTCTGCCATGTTCTTGTCCCAAATATCCTCAGGGCTCCTTCCGTCCCCTCCTTCTGGTCCCTACTCAAGCATCAACATATCAGAGAGGCAATACCACGCACCCCATCTGCCAGCGTTCCCTGACCCTTTACCCTGCTTTGTTTTCCTCATCAAACAGACCACCTGAGAGATTATATACTTCATTGTCATTGACCGTCTTCCGCACTAGAATGTAAGCTCCATGCGGACAAGGTCTTTGCTTTAGTCACTGTAGTGCCCCAGGGTCTAAAGCAGTGCCCGGCACTGTCTGTGGACATTTGTAACATGGGTAAGCAAAGAGAGAAGGAACACAGTAACTGCGGGCTGTCTTCCCCTCCCTTCCTCCTCGGGTTCACAGCAAGTGGAGGGGTGGAGGGGGCCGTTTAGTTTCTCCTCTGTGTTCTCAGTCCTCACAGCAAGCTGTCATTATACAGGGCCATGCATTACTATCCCGCTTCACAGACGAAGCGACCAAGGCCAAGGCGGTCAGTGATGTGGTTAGGGTCCCATGAATCTTCTGCTGCCTGGCCTCAGGGCCCCCTCCCTGGCACACAAGGTTGATGGCAGGCTGGTTCCCTTTCTAAGCCAGCGTCAGCTCCAGAGGGCAGGAGGTCGACCCCCTCTGAGATCTGACTTGACCTTCCACTGCCCCCAGGAGGACAAAGACCCAACTCTGAAAGGTGGGGTTAGAACAGGAGGCCTCAGGAGAAAGTGTGGGGCCAGGAGGCTAGAGGTCCCAACTGCCAGCACTTTCCTGCCCCCTCCCCAGGGTCACTCTTCTGAAAGACAGTGAGACTGCCCCAGGCCAGCTCTGTCCCGGCACACCCCTGGCTCCCTCCTCTGAAAATTCCAGAGGGACCAGCGACGGACTGGTCTCGTGATCCATCTGTGACTGCTGTGATCCCGGCCTGCAGAGGGACTTGCTGTCCCTTCTTGCCTAAGATCTGGGCCCAGCCCAGTGGCATCACCATGCCAGGCCACTAGGTGGTGTCCCAGGGCTCAAGCCATGGCTGCTCCCAGAAGAAGAGCAACCAGCAGCTTCTCTCCCAGAACCCAAGAATGTACCCCACCTCCACTCTCAGACTGACTAAAAGGGAGAGGAACCACCTAACCGCCCCAGAGGTCTGAGAATCCAAGGCTTGCAGAGTTTCAAAATAATTGACTCCCAAGGTGGGAAATACAAGGCACACTTGCCAGCACTTTCTATTCCGTGTCCTTGGCAGACATCACTAATCCATCCAGGTATTATTGTCCTATGAACCCACACAACCTCAGAACCCTTTTCAACAGGGTGCTCTGGGCAAGCCACCACCAAGTGATTAGCACTGGCAGGCAAGACGCCACCTGCTCACTAGCCCTCTCACTTCCTGGAGGAGGAGGCTTGGCCGGGCTCTGTCTCATCAGGAGCCCAGGCTGCAAAAGCCAGCGGCGCCAGAGGAGGTCAGATGACCCCTGGGATGCTTGTGTAACCATGGTTAAGTCCAGGGGAAACCTCCAGTGGGTAATGGCAGTGTTGATGGAGAAGCTGCTGGGCCCCGGCAGCTGCATCCTTGTCCGATATTCGCCTCAGACGCAATGGGGGCAGGCGGGGCGCAGGGAAGTCTGCCCAAGCTTCTTGGCTTCTGCGCTGGAGGGACCCCAAAAGGGGGAGAAGAGAAGGGGGACAAGAGACAGAAAGAGGTTCTCAGGGTCTGTGTGAGTGTGTACGAGTGTGCAAGTGCATGTGTATGTGTGTGAGCACCCAGTGGGAGGAGGCGGGGGAGCCCTGACAGAGGCGCCTTGTCCTCCTGCCCCTGCACAGGCTTGTTTCCTTCCCAAGCTATTAATGTCGCTGCAGCTTCAAAAGCCGGGTGACCTTTAAATGCCGAGCCTCCTGCTCCTGCCGAAGGCACGGAAACGGCTTAATGGAAACTCCAAGGGCCGCAGCTGCTGGGGCCGCAACAAAGCCAGCCTCATTCCCAGGATGCCCAGGGCGTCGGGGCAGCCACACCTGTGACCACCCCGCGTTGGCCAGCAAGGGCAACAGCCACTGGGGAAAGGAGGCCAGGCTGGATCTGAGAGGAGGAGGAGGAGAGAGGGAGAGGCAGACTCCACTCTGCCATGCCCTGCTGTGTGATCTTGGGCTGGCCACTCACCTCTCTGGGCCATCCCCCATCATTTAGTCCAATGTAAGGCATTTCCCCTCCCCTCCAAAAATCTTCAGGAGAAAAAAAGAGAAAGAAGATATTTTCTTGCCTAATTTTTCTCTCTCTTGCCTCAAATTCTATGATCAGGTCTGTCACCAAGGAGGGTTGTAGGGCAGGACCAGGGTAAGAGATTCCAAAGGAACTTAATAAGGTCCTTCCCCTGTGGAAGGATTGGCCCCGAGCCTCAGTCCTAAGGAAATTGTCGTTCATCTCTGCTCCTGAGGCCCAAAGACCAGGCTTGGTGGCCGTAAAGGGTGCCACCAAGAAGCCAACTCTGCCTTCCAGTTGAAAAGATCCAGGATGAAGCTCCTCAGGCATGAGCAACATGTCACTTGTTTGGCTCATGTTGGTAGGATAATGGAAATACAGTATTAGGGATAATAATAACACTCACTGCCTGCTTCTTTACGTGCCAACCACTGTTCCAAGTGCCTTATGCCTGTTAACTCTTCCATCCTCTCTACAGCCCTAGGAGGTGCCTATTACCACTGCTAGTTCCACTTTACAGATAGAAAAATGAGGCACAGAAGAACTGAGTAACTTGTTCAAGGTCACACAGCTAAGAGGCCAAGCTAAAATGTGAGCCCAGGAGGTCCGATTCCAGAGTCAGCACTCACTCACACATCAGGATGGACCACTGCTCGGTATGCCCTGGAGCTGAGCACAGATCTGGCCACACAGCAAGAACTCAGTAACTGTCAGTTGAATTGAGCTCTAAAGGGGCAGAGTTGCCCATGGAGAGGCTGGGGTGCCTGGTGCTCCTGTAAAGGGAGTGAGGGCGGAGTCTGCAGGCAAAGCCTCTTTCAGAAGGACAAACAGAACCAGAGCCGTGGTAGTGTCCTTATAAAACCCTTTTCCCCACCCACCAAGGTTGTCAGGCTGCCTGAGCACCAACTGTTTTCCATCTCTACCTGAGCTGGTTGGGAATATTTCCACAACAGTCCCTCTCTCCATCAACAAACGCTACCAGCTCAGTCAAGACAGTCAACCCAGGCACCTGGGAGGAGACCAAACCTCGCTGGACTGAGCAATTGCTGCTTGTCCTGCCCCACCCAAGGGCTGCAGCCCTGGGAGGCCCCTCTCAGCTGGCAGGAACCTGTGTGTACCTGGGACCAAGTGCAATGGCCCAGATTGGGAGAAGGCGACCACTGGCAGCTCAGGTGCAGGGCCAGTGAAGCTGGGCTGGCTCCAGGCATGAGCTCATGCCGACTCAGGTCCAGCTCCTTAGGAAAGAAGGGCCAGCTGCCTTTCCCTGGGCGTCTCCTTCAGGCAGTGAGGCCGAAGGCCCCTCCACAGGTGGGGCCTGCATGGTCTGGACAACAACAGGAGACGTCTTTGGGCCCTGGCACAGGCGGTCAGTTGAGGCTGCCACACACTTTGTATCTGAGCATGCCCTGGGAGTCCAGGCCAAGGAACCGAGATTAGGGAGAGGTGCTCAGGGTGAGCAGAGGAGGGTCCTGGGAACAGAAGTCCCAACCCCTGCTCCCTTTCCCCACACTAACACAAACTTTGCCCCCACCCACTGATCCATGAGTTCCACTTCTGTGGAATTCATATAATATATATAATGAAACACCATATAACAGTAAACAAAGATGAAGCATCTCTATGCCTCTATATTGCTACGGGGAACAATGCAAGGCACAAAACAGTGAGCAGTCACTACACTGTAGAGCGTGATGGTATGAGAGCGTCTGTATGTCTGCAGGGGGAGGGGGGAGTGCTCTGTAGGGTTCACAAGAGACCCATAATGTAGGTTTCCTCTGGAGAGAATTGGGTCGTAAGAGACAGATCAGGGAAATTTTTCCCTGTAAATCCTTGTATACCTTTTAAATTTTTACTCATGTTTATTAATTTAAAAATAAAATAAGCAAATAACCTACAAAGGATATCAAAGTGACAGCATAGGCAGTGATTTTTTATGGTGTTTTTGCATACATATATTATCTACAAAGGACATGAATGAGATTTTAATGACAATGATAGCAAATATCTCTGAGCACTCACTATGTGCCAGGACTTTCTAAGTACTTGGCATGCTTATCTCATCAAAGCCCCACAGGAAAGCAATTATTCCACCCAGTTTACAGATAAGGAAACTAAGGCTCAGAGAGTTTAAATAACTTACGTAGGTAGGTAGGGTCTCACAGTAGTCACAGAGCCCGAATTTGAATCCAAACAAATTCTAGCTCTGAAGTCCATGCATTTCTTAACCTCCACTTATATTGTCTCTTTATTTAAAAAAAACAGGGGCCAGCCCCATGGCCGAGTGGTTAAGTTCGCACACTCCGCTTCGGCGGCCCAGGGTTTCGCCGGTTCGAATCCTGGGTGTGGACATGGCACCGCTCATCAGGCCACACTGAGGCAGTGTCCCACATGCCACAAGTAGAGGCACTCACAACTAGAATATACAACTATGTACTGGGGAGCTTTGGTGAGAAGAAGAAAAAAACGCAGATTGGAAAGATATTAGCTCAGGTGCCAATCTTTAGAAAACAAACAAACAAACAAAAACTGAATGATGATAGAAAAAGAAATCTTAAGAAAAAAGCAAACCACAGAGCCTCTGGGGCTTTAAAACCTTTACCATCCTTAGAATCCCGACTCAGTTCTTCCTGCTGCCACTGTTTCGACAGATCTTCTCCAGTCTTGCCTCAGTGGGAACCCAGGCACTGCTCCTCCCACGGGGCTTCCTGGAGCCCTCCTGGTCAGGGTCCTGCCAACCTCCTGGTGGAGTTGCAGAGGAGAATGAAGGCCCAGTGGGCAAGGTCATGATCCATGCCACAGCTGTTTCGGAGGTCAGACCACGGGGTGGGGGCCGCACAGGGGCACAGCAGGGTCAGGGCTGGCCAGGAAGCTCCTTCTGGAAGATATATGGCAAGTTGGATTTTACCGGTCCTGAGTCTGGGGCACCAGGCCGTAGGGCAGAGCGGTTAAGACTGGGGCTTTAGCTCCGGGCCGGCCTCAGCTCACATCCCGATCCTGCTGCCTCCTGGGTGAGCGGACTTCTCTGAGCCAGTTTCATCATCTGTAGAACGGGATACCTACTCCTCCTTGGATGAATTCCTGAGGGGGATTCATGTGATGGGCACGCACAGGCCCCACACGCAGATGCTCTCAGTGGGAGGCAGCTGTTAGCAAGACTGTCATGGGCCATTTAGGCCTGAAGGCCACATAGTTCTCAGGGGTTGAGTCTAGAGCCTGACCCAGGAGGGGCCTGGGGTTATGATCTTGTATTCAGCCCTGGAGGGGGAGAGTGTGCAGCACAAAGGCCTCCTCTCAGGACCTCAGGCTGGGGGGGCTCTGGGACCCCTGAGTGGAGTGCAGAGCTGGGCCACAGCCCTTTCCTGCCCATACCCTGCCCCTAGCTAAGCTTCCCGGGGAGAAGAAGTGACTGGACTGCCCTGGGTTGCCCGGGCCTCCCACTCCTGCTTGGGGGGGTGGTGGTGGCAGGCAGGGGGAGGCAGTAGGAGGTGGCTGGACAGCTGGACAGGGGCCTGCCCTATTGGGAGGGACTTGAGAGACCCCAGGCGGCAGGAGCACAGCAGAGTGGCAGTCTCAGAAGTGCCGCCTCAGGCAGCTGAGGAATGCAGGCCCGGCTGGGGAGTACGGCTTGGGGAGGGGGTGGTTGGCCCGTGGCTGAGCTTCAAAAGAGCAGGCGGCAGCTGCAGCTGGGAGGGCCATGCCCCGCCCGCCTCGCCTCGGGCAACGGGACACATCAGAAATTCCACCCCTGGAGAAGGGCCCAGCCCAGACAGCAGACAGGATTGTTTAGAGCCACTTACCAGGCCAGCTACTCCCCTCAACCACAGGCTGCTCACTCCTCCTCGCCTCCCCTTGCCCCTTCTCAGTCTGTGTAGCAGCAAAGCTCCCCTTCCACAGCCTGGGGCTCCCAGAGGCCAGCTGCCAGGCGTCCTCTCCCCACCTGAGGCCCTCCCTCATCCACACTGCTTCACCGCCACGTACCCACACACCCTCTGGAGACGCCACGGCTGGGAAGGCAGGAAGAAACCTCATGTTCTCACTTCCAGATGGTGCGTGTTGCCAAAGGTCACAGAGCTCAGTGGTCGCAGAGCTGGGATTTCAACCCAGAGCTGTGACTCCTGGGCCAGGACTCTCTTCCTGAGCAGGCATACACACCAGTACGTGCCAACACACAGCTCATGTGCCTGCGTGTGCCACATGCACCAGCTCACTCAAACCCGTTCACTCACACAGCGCCACATGCTCCTCTCAGGCCCTCACAGCCATAGGACACAGACACCTTCTTCAGATTTTTCCTGAACCCTCCCATCCAGGCCAGGCACTCAGTCTACTCCTCTCTTCACCCAACTCTGAAGCCGTGTTTTTAAAATTACAGCCACACTCTCCTACACACACACTAATGTGCACCCATAGCACCCTCACCCTTTCCACAGCTCAGCTGCAAGCCACTCCCTCACTCGGCCGACGGCAGGGCCAGATGAGGCCCGGATCCCTCTCTCTCTACCCTTCTGTGCCCAGAATGGTTTCTACAGTGTCTGGTGCAGCGAGGATGAGGTTGGGCCAACCTGACTTGCAGCAAAACTGGCCAGAACGGGAAAGTGGCACATGCTGGCCAAGATACCGGCTTGCTGGTTGCCAGCAGGACCAGCTCCTGGAAGGGAGTTCAGGCAGGGGCCTCAGGCCAGCTGGGGCTGGTAGCCCTGACCCTCCAATCTGACAGTCAGAAGAATGGGGCAGAAGCTCCTAGGGTCCCATAACTAGCCTCTTAGCCTCCAGGGACCACAGTTTCCACCTCCAGAAAATGGAGAGAAACAGTCCCTATTCAGTCTGACCTTTCCCATCCCTGGAACCTGCCAGGGATGCAAGGACATGGGCGGGATGGGTCAGGGCCCGAAAAAGGCACTCCCATACGCAGTACAAACCACGAGGACGCCTCTGCAGAAGGAGGTGGCTGCATCTCAGGCCCAGGTCCGGAAGGACCTGTACCTTTTCTTTAACTACAGAACCGGAACTCCTCTCCTCAAATGAAATCCACAGCAGAAGTCCATTCTATAAAGACATTAAGCAGAAGCCTGCCCCCCACCCTGTGCCCCTGCCCCTTGTTCCCCTAGCAATTATGCACAGCCAGAGAGCCTGCCATTTACTGAGGGCTGGCAAGGTGTGTCTCGTGCATCGTGTCAGTTCATCCTCACGATAATCTAGTACTGCAGATTATTTCCTTCTACCATTATCAGAGCCATTTTACAGATAGGGACCCTGAGTCACGTGTGACCCACAGGTTGTCCAGGGTTATGCCACATCCAAATTGCATGGCCTTACACAGCAGAGACCAGTGTGCCTGTCAAGACTCCTGACATGCCAGAGTCACTCTGGAATGTGGTTTAAACCTGGGGTTAACCCCTTGTGCTCTCATCTCCGGAGCTCTTTGCACCCCTGCCTGTTTCCCCCACTGCCCACGACCAGCTCACGTGGCTCTAGGAAGTGCCCCATGTGCTTTTCCATCAGTCTAAGAAGGAAATGCTCTGTGTGTTATAGCAGTGTATCTCCGAGGGTGCTGGACACACCTTCATCAGAACCCCCAGCAGTGTCGCTAATAACACATATTCTCCACTCCACTTTTAAGTCAGAATCTCTAAGCGTGTGCCCTGGGAATCTGCATGTTAGCAAGCTCCCCAGGTCATTCTGATGCCCAATAAAGTGTGAGGACCACTACCAGGCAGGAGGATGCAGTTTGCAGCCCTGGATTCTGCTTTTAGCTCCATCAGCCAAGTGACTTTAGGCAAGTCATTTTGCCTCCTGGACCTTCAGTTCCCAGCTGAAAAATGGGCAGGAAGGACTAGATGCTCTTTAAGACCCTTTCACCCCTGACATCCTCTGTGGCTGCCCTGAGTCCCCAGATGGTCCACAAGTGCATGAACCTGGTCCCGGTAGCAGCCAATGTACACTGTAGGCACACATTCAAAAGAGTTCCTGTCTGGGTGACTTAGGGAGATCTGCAAAAATACCTTATCTCTGGCTCCAGGCCCTAAACAAATGGCTCTCGGATTATTCATGCCACCTCCCCACTCCCCCAAACGTCTATCTTCTTCATTCCAACTTGAGCCAACCAGAACTCTGTAAACACTGGGTCTGCACACCTGGGCTTAGTTAACAGTCATTAAACAAAAGCATTGCCAAATCACCCCACAAGCCCAAACCCGCATCCACTCTGTCTCTCCCGGGAGGCAGCCAGCCTGGAGGTGTGGACCCTCCACTCCCTCTTGTCACAGAAGGGGCATGATGGGTGGGTCAAATAGAGGGTGCCGCCAGAATGGTCCTGGTCTACAAATGGGTAGCAAGGTTATCCAGACTTAATGCGTGTGAGGCAATGGCACAGGGAGCACCCAGCAGTTGCTGGAAACTTCCAAAAGCAGCTAGACATTCCTCAGTGCTTTGGCTCTTTGCTGATCACCATTAAAACACCATGTATTCAGCTAGTGCTCAAGCATTGCTTGCTGGCGCAATCATATGACTGACTCGCCCTTCAAGGTCTAGGAATCCTTAACAGAGGAGCTGTGGGGGTTATCAGACCACAGCTCGCAGGTGAATTCTGATTCCTGCTACCTTTGGTGTATGGTGAACCTGTGTGTATGTGAAATAGCCAAAGAGGAAGGACGAACAGGAAGGGCAAGAAGGAAAACCCAGCTTCCACAGTGGGAATATCCGTGAATTGTAGCCAGGGTCTGCTGAGCCCAGTCATTTAAAAATCCCGAAATAGATCATTCTCTCACTCTGAGCATGCTGACTGCCCCAAACAGTCATGCTCTACACGTGCATGCACTTAACAGTTTCCAGCGCTGGGGGACGGGGTGCACGCGCCCTTTCCATTTAGCCAGGCTCTAGACCAGGCAGGGACCCTACAGCTACCACCCTGCAGGGGACTCGCCCTGGCACTATGCTGGGCACGTTCCCTCCATGGAATCTTCGCAACAATCCTCCGAGGTAGGAAGTGCTATTTTGCAGAGGAGGAAACTGAGGCACAGAGGAATTAAATAACTTGCCCGAGGTCCCACAGCCAGGAAGTGGCTGAGTCAGGATTCTGCCCCAAAGCCCACACTCTCAACCACTTACTGCACTGTCACCCCACTTATAATGCTGAGCCTTTGACCTCTGCATGGGGCAAAGAGGGAAACTGAGGCTCCAGGAGGGTTGGGAAGATGGGATCAGCCTAGCAATGGTCCCACCTCCAGGCATCCTGGAGCAGGAGAGAAGTGGCTGCACAGAGGAGGTTGGGGAGCAGGGGTTGGAAAACAAGCGGGTGCACCCCAGCTCAGAGCTGAGCAGGCTAGTCCTGCCACATGCCTCCTCTGCCACAGCAGTCCCAGGCCCAGAGGGGACTGTGCCAGGCTCCCGCTCCCACCCCCAGCAGGGCCTCCCTGTCCCCGTCTGGGGTCTCTTCAGTTGTGTTTCCATCCTAACCACATCAGGCAGCAGCCAGAGTGAGTCAGGACAGGCAGGAGGAAGTGGCCACACTTGAAAATCATTAACATGCAGGGCTGAACTTGGGGCTTTTGTTCTTGAGCAAGGACTGTAGCATTTCACTTTCAGGAAGGAGCTGGGAGGGTGGGGCAGGCTCAGAATTGCACAACCAAAGCACAGGCTCAGACACACACAGGTCCCACGTGGAAGTCTACTTAGACGGGCCCCCTGCAGAAAAGCTCAAGCCGACCCACCAGTCCTCACACACGGCAGGTCCACACAGAGGGAGGGTTCAGGCCAACCCATCCCCACTGCTTTTTAAATCAGAGAGCGCTTCCAACAGCAGGTGAGTGGGGCTTTGTGGTCAATTGACTTTCAAGTCAGGGAAGCCAAGCAAAGGAAGGAAGCAGAAAGGCGGCAGAGGGAGGGTGGGAACTCAGGCCTCTGACCACCACCATGCTGGGAGCCCGAGGTCCCAGAGAAGGACAACTGCCCCACATCTGCCTGGGAGGGGCGGCCTCAGCCCTGGGAAGACTGCCTTCCTGCACCCTCTTCTTCCCAAAGACAGCATCCCTCCTCTAACCATGCAGGTGTCACGTGCCCCCCGACCCCGTGTCTCCCAGATGCAAGGAAACTACAGCACACAGCCTCACAGGCTCCCCACCACGTCCTGAAACACCGCGTCTAGGGCAGCCTTCAGGGCTGCGGCTCCCCCTGAAAGCGGCACATCTCAGCCACCAGCGGTGGTGGGAAAGGCTGTGAAGTGAATTAGTCACTTCTGGGGGAGGGAGAATGACGGTTGGGGAGGTGAGAGGGAGGGAAGGAAAGAAGTCAGTGGACAAGGAAAAATCTGTTTCAGAAAACGTAATACAAACAACAAGAATAAAACAGGCTTTGAGCAAGCCCCATGAGCCCTTGGAACCAGGACTGTCCCTCGATCCCAGAGAAAGGGCCCCTGCTCCCCGCCCCTCCTTGCAGGGCTCGGTCAGAGGCTAAAGTTTTACCCTGCTCCCCTCCTGCGCCTCATTAGAGCTTCAGCTCCAGGCCTTTGAGGAAATTGGTAGAAATGAGACCCTTGTCT